AAGTGTATAAAAAATATTTTAACACATTACTATTTAAGATTTATAATTATTTAGACTATTTATACAATAAATATATTTTTATTTATTTCTCACATTGTATAACCTACGAAGTTTATATCTAAAAAATTCTTTTCAGAAATTATGTAATTTTGATTAAATATTTATTTAAAAAATAAACAAAAGTTTAATTGTGCGTAATATAAGTCTTTTTTTAAATATCCATTACTTTTAACATTGTTTTATATATGTGTCTTATTATATATATATATATATATTCGTATTTTACAGATCAACATTATCCATTACTCCATCGTTGCGCATCGTACCGGTGAGTTTAAATTATTTTCTATTTTAATCTCGAATTAACGGATTCGCGAATATTGTATCAGGTATATATAAATACATGTGTACGCAGTTGTAACAAAAATAACTAATTTTTTTTATTTTAAACTTTTTGCCTTCTGCATTTTATTTCTCTAGAAAATTCTGTTACATGCATCATTTACACAGTATTATTTTTCAACGTATGTTACTACGTAGTTATCCGATTCAAATATCATAAATAATGATTCAAATATCCATAATTATTAATTATTATCAACATTTGAAAAATATATAGGGCAATAATTGCCCTACATACATATATGTATATATTCATTCTGTATTTTTGTTACAATTTTCAATTTTTTTCTTTTAAACGTAATAAAAATTTAGTTATTATTATACTCTTATTTTATCATTACTTATATGGTAAGATAAGAAGAGCGACGTACAATATTCGCAGCCGTCGTACAATCTAGAACCATCCTTCAAGAAAGTCAGCGATGTCGGAATATATTCGACCGCGAGGAATGTTGGTTCCCGGGCATAATGTTGGTATGCAAGCGTGAAAAATTTAATGGGCCAAGAGTGAGAAACACGCGAGCGTTTGGAAATTTTTTAATAATTTGGGGTCGAGCGCATTTACACCGTCAGTCATATATCTCGAAAGCGACCGATGTGGCAGCGTCTTTCCTAAATTAGCGATTTCGTAAAATTATTAACTAGGATTTTATATCGAGACGAGAGTATCGAACGTTTTATTTTTTCACGTATTCTCATCCAACACGAAATGAAGATCGCGCGCGAAATTATTAAATTTATAACTTGATGAAATTTTAATTTTAAATCTATAGCTTTACATAATTTTAATAAATGCTTATTCTTGTTCCGTGCACGTATATGAGCCACTCGACGTGTGGCTCATATTTACAAAATTAAATTGCCTGCCTCCCGTGGAGATACTTCATTATGAACTGCTCACAAATCTCTTGAAATCGTTTGCCTCTTAGCACCCTGTATACAGAATGAGAAGAAAAGCCAAAAGAATGGAGGCTGTATCGAGAGCTTGTATTCTGTCATCTTCGTCTGCGTTCCAATCTTGAAATCACTGTCGACTGTTAAGTGGGTCTTTATTTAGACGAGTTGTTTTTACTCGCTTTCCTTTCTATAATGCTCTCAAAATAATATACCGTGAAAAGAATTCGTTACGCAACAGCGTGTTTATTTGAACAATCAGTATTTCTTTATTGAATTCTGACCAAGCTCGTATTTTTCGTTATTAAAAAATTAAACTCATAAACTTTTTTTATATCTCTCTCTTTTTTCTCTTTCAATAACATGTAATAGTACGATGATGTAATAGTCACGCGCGCATTGCGTCTTTTACCGTAATTGAAAATTTTTATTTTTTATCGCGTATAAAAGTATCATTTAATTTCAATTTGCCTTTATTTCCTAAATGAAACGGTTTAAAATTACGATGGTATAAAAATCCGTTGCGACACAATTTTATTTCGAAAGGAATAAAATAAATTGTTATCGCGCGCAATTCCATCGATTCTGCGAGAAGGTTGCATCAATCGAAATATACCATTCTATTGCAAACGGATTCGCGATTGAAAAGCAAAAATGATAAAGATAGATGCGGCGTGCATTGGTTTGTTAGTGGCGATGAGATGACGGTACAAACAATCTATTATATCTAGACCCTTTCGTATATTCGACGGCTGTGAAACTGAAACATGATCACATGCCCGGCAAGTTGTTCGAGCGAAAACATAATCGCGGCCGAATGTATTATACCTGCGTAAGAAGCATAGCATGATTCTATATACGAACGCGCCGCAGGACCGCCGCAAACATCTGTACCATAATCGTAGAGATAGACAAACGCCAAAGCCGTAAAGGGGTCGTCAACTATGTACATAATTTCCAACTTCTCTGACTCTATCCGTTTCTGCAACGGACGATTCTCCAAAAGCGCCGAATCTCTCGACGCGCGGTCACCTCCAAATGTATTCACCTGACAGACCGAATAACGTCGCGCATGGGAATAGTCTCATTTGTATTTGTATTTTGCGTACGCTCTGCTTTCATTAATGAAATAGATTGACCGACGACAAAACAGAAAATTGCTCTCGCATCGCATTATAGTGCCGGCAAATCAGAGCCCAACTATCGTTTATAGCTACAATGAAGAAAATATAAGCGATTATATTATTTAATATGGAATCTGGAAAAGTATAATTTTTAAATCGGAATCTTATTAAAATGTATTAATCTAACAGTTATGTTCAAGTCTTAGTAATTCGTTTGTTTATATTAATTTTTAATATTATTAAGAGATTACATAATTTAAATTTGCAATTTAATTATTTGCTGACGCGAGTTTCGAGTTTGTTTTTCGAGTGCGTATATATGTATACGTACAATCGATCAGCGATTTTATAAAAAGACGGACGATCGACTCTTTCGCTGTCATGGCTGAGATAATCTGATTCGGTTTCAACTCCAACGTAATTCGGCTGACACGTATTTCTCGGCACGGAACGGTCAAAATTACAAAATTCCGAATGGGGTGGGGAGTGATATCAAATCATTGTCTGTGTAACGACAGCCAGCAAGAGCAAAAATGCAGTCCAACAAAGCAAGTCGTGGCAGCATGCTCTCCCATCATAACGGCGGTGGTGAAGTCCACTTGTGGAGCAAGACGGATGCTCGTCTCCGCTGTCATTCTGATTTTTTTGTTGATCGCTATATATTGGGTATCCTTGAACCAGCAAGCGAATCCTGGCATACATCAACCAGAGAGTGAGACCATATTAACCATGAGAATTCAACCACAAACTTCTCAAAATAACCCGATAGAGCAAACCGGGGCTACGGAAGGGGATGAGAGATGAAGTAACGTCATTGATAATTTGTAATTTTTGGGGGAAAATGTATAGGATAATTCCAAGACAACTGGAGTTTATTTATCGTTTATATTTGAAAAGGAGATACTTAAACATATATATATATATATATGAATATTTCATAAATTTAATCGCCACTTAAAATTACATAATTGAGAAATATTCTTTCGATAATAATTTTTTTATATGTACAACTACTCTTATTTCGAAAGTTTTTATCGGAATTATCCTAACGGGGATTTCGATAAATACGTAATGCAGATTAATGAAGATGTGGATGGCAAATAAATCTAAAAATATCAAACTAGGGTAATATCAGCATCGAGAGCAGCGTAATCCGTAGTAACAATACGAGCTTGCATTTCCGAGAAACAAGGCATACTGCATTTCATTGCTGGACGTGGACGTTATATATCATAACGGCAACTGTTATACGATACATTCATCACGTGTAAAAAATAAGCATCTTAATCGTGTAAATGTAATGAACTGAATACTAAAACAAAGATAATAAAGCGATAATAAAGCTTTCGTGACATCATATAGAGTTAATTAATTACAGTCGAAAAAGAATGATATTAATAATTATAATTTGTTGCGACGCGATTAATCCGTGCTTTTTAAAAATTGCTGCATTTTTCTCGTTTTTGCAGACATTGATAAGAGTTGCAAGAATTAAACACGGTGAATAATTTTATAATTTCAAAACGAATAATTGAAATATGTGCGAATAATTATAAAACGGAAAATTATTTTTTCACGAACTAATACAAAAAATATCTCGAATTTTAAACATCGATGATATAATAATTTGTAAAATGTAAAGCGATAACATATGCTTTTTTAGACACACCCTTTTATATCTGCCAATAACACTCCCTTCGATATAGTATGTCCTTATCGCGAACACGCGCGCTAAAGTTGTGATAAAGCTTAACACGTGGAACAAGTATAGCGTACATCGTAGAAGATCAAATAAACTGCCAATGTACACAACGGGAGCGGTTCTAATCGAGGCTACCTAGACCATCGAGCACGTGCAACATCATCCCCAGTTCTTGGTACGTGATTCTAATCGGGTCGTCATCGCACAAGCTAATATACCCCAGCAGCAGCTTGGCGATAATGTCTCGTTCCAAAAGTTCGCGCTCCACTTCCGGATACTCCCCCTTCACGGTGTCCAAATAAAATCGCAAAATGTTCCGGCAGAATGCCTCGACTTTCGGCAGTTCACTTTCGTCGGGTATATTGGTGAAGAGAATAAGAGCGAAATCGATCGCCGGCGAGCAGTACCTCATTGTTTCCCAATCGATCATCTTTACGTCGCTCGGTTTGCCGTTCTCGTGCTTGAACAATACGTTATCCCGCGTGAAATGACCGTGGCAAACGATCGAAACGTCGTTGATCTCCGTGGACAAACTTTCCATTACGTGTAGCTTTCCTTTTATTTTCTCAACGAGATTTGATTCGAGTGATGCGAAGCTCAAATGTACGCTACAAGCAATAAGAAATCGAGGGTACTTTACAAATCTTTTCAATTAGATATTTTTTAATTAATAAAATATTAATAATAGATATGATAATAATTTGTTATTATCATAAAAATTAAGAGATTACGTATTGATCATATTTTAAAATCAGAAATCGCGAAATTATCTTGCGTGATATTTTTTTATTAAAAAATGTTAACACGATCTATAAAATAATGGTTTAAAATTATTGCATTATTTTTTAACGTACGTGCTTATTACGATAAGAGATGATTTACCTGGCATCGAGCATTTGTTGATCAGAATACAAGCTGTCCGGCACAGACAGTTTCGCATAGAACTCTCGGAAAATGGGAAACTTGCGCGCTTTCAGCCTCAATCCTCTGCCGTGAAATGCCGCCAAAGCTTTTACGCACAATTTCAAGTGATCCTCGTCTAATTTATCCTTTACATGTGCGTAACCGCGCGCGGACAGATCCTCCAATACTATGACCGGCCGACCGTATCGACCCAAGTCGGATAGGTAACACTTGGGTATACCGTCCGTTCCGTACTCGAGTGTCATCTTGCTATAAAACATCTCTTCGTTTTGAAAAGGGCCGGACGGCGGAGATTCCGCGTCTGCCTTGGGCAACTTGATAACGAGAGGGAAGCTGCAAGTCTCGCCGGAAAATTTTACCCGCGCCGTCACCCGGTATAACCTGGTCGTATAATCGCGAATCCCGTCGAGATGCTCTATGTCAACGGAATCGAACTCGACAAACTCCCTCGAGCCGGACTCGCAGAAACGACGGTCGTGCACCATCTCCGGTATCAATTCCCGTCTTATGAAGTCGCAGTCTCCGCACCGGCACTGCTCCCTCGACTTGGTGCGGAAATCTGGGTCGGCCATATCGAAAGGGAAAAATAATATCGCTGTAATAAAACACGACAGCAATTAAGGACACCGGCACTGCGAAAGCGCGCGCGCTTAAAGCCGGAAAGTCGAGAATTATGAGGAATTTTTTTCTTCTTCCTCTCTCTCTCTTTTTTTTTCTTTATGCCCCTCCTCGTCCTAATAACGTTGTCGCGACGAGTGCCGCGCACGTTAATAATGTTTATCGTCACGAAATGCAACGAGTCGCCGGTATAATTAAAAACATTTTAACCGTGTTAGCCCCGAGAACGAGTCACGAGCGTTTCCGCTAATAACCAAACAGATGATACGAGTAGCTTCCGCAATTATATACAAATTATTATGAAAGAAATGATTCATCAAATATATTTTACCCAGCGGATTCTAGAATCGCTCGTAGAATTCCCAGCTGTAGTCCACTGCTAACTAGAAGTTCACGATCTCTGTTACATAACCGGAATAAGTCTCCCCTCCATTCATCTCATTGAAGATTCCTCATTCATTTCACTGACCCAGTCGGCAATTCTAAAAAAACTTAATAGAAAATATTACTATTTATTTTTTCTCTAATTTTTATTAATCTGCATTATATATAGTAATTAAATTCTCTGCTTAATCCATGTTCTTTATTCATTTCTTGTAAAGCGATCTTGAGTAAGAAAAAGATTCTAATTTTAGACAAGGAATATCACATCAAACTGTAGGTCTAATACACTTGATAAAATCTAGTCACGTTTCTTCTATTGGATTTGTTCGATGGCTCGAGAGATTGTTTCTTTCACGATAATTCCCTTAAGCGTATAATTCGTCAGATATTGTTATTCGTCGTGCGAAAGATCGCACACATATCGAGCACACACAATCGCGATACCGTATTTACCGTAGTCTCTCATTTAGAGACATCCGTGTCACGAGGGGCCAGCTCAGCTGTACGTAATGAATGAGCGCTGCGTAGAAAGTCATAGCACGATGAACTGGTAAATCTCCCCACTCTTTCAAGATAACGAAGCCGACTTTCATCGGCTTTTAATGATGTCGCAAACGAGTTTATACCGCGAACGAAACGTGACGAACCGTTTAGCTAGCGTCCTCGTCGCTTTAAGTATATTTTCATCGGCATTTAATCCGGAAAAAGGTATCGATCGTAAGAAAAGTGGAAGTAACTTTAAATTACGTTACAGAGATTACCGTCTTATTAAAGAAATTACTCACTCTAATTGGATCTATATAACTAATCGGATTTATTTTAATCAGGTGACGCGTGAGCTTCGGACTTTAAAATGTCGAAAGAAAAATTGTCTTTTGCCACGTCCGTCGTAACGAACTTAAAGCTTCGAGTAGAGCATAAATTGTGAAGTTTCCGTGGCGAACATACATTTAAAATGCGGAATTAAAGATGTTTGCAGAGCTAAGAAAAGCACCTTTATTTTACAATAATCCTTTCTCGAATACTTTGAAAGAAAACACTTTGCAATTATTTATGCGCCAAGGAATTTTCTTCAACGATATAAACTATCGATGGCGTAATTTTATTTTAACGAGTCGCTACAACTTCAAATCTTAACAAAAGCACCGAACATCTCGTGCTTGACATATCCACATTATTCAAATCTAAATTTTCAAGTGTAATTCTCTTAAACTATAAATAAAAGCAAGAAACAGAATAATGCATTATTGATCACCAACTGAAATAAATGGACATGACAGCCGCAGCCGGGATCTAAATTCCTAAAGCAAATCAATGATCTAACCTCTGATACCGATGATTAATTTACCTTGTAACGTGGCCTCGATGTCACAGGTCGCGCCCTGTCAGAGCGTACCCGTACAGACGAGTCAGTATAATTTTCCAATATGCCAACAACGGCAAACCAGTACTCAGCAAACTGCTGCATGCGGTCCGTGCTCCGGAACTTCTCAAGGTAGAAAGTCAATCGTGCCAATCAAATGTTAATATTTTTTAACATGTTACGTATAAATTAAATATCATTAAATTAATTAATATATTTTATTAAAAAAGTACACATATATATAATTTATACAAAACATCAAACTACTTGCTCTACTTCAAATTTCCTCGTCCCTATCCAAGGACCCTTCGCTCACGTTTACCAACCGGACACTTATGTAGTAACGCATCAATGTGCACCGCAATCAGTAACAAATCCGTGCCATCCCGTCTTCCAAAACCCATGTAATCCCCCGCCGAGTAATCCCAGCTGCGGCCAGCTGCCGCAAAATATTTTGGATCAGATTCGTGCGTGTGTCAGCAATGCCGCGCCCATTTTCATCCTGCCCGGTAATTGTCAACAATCGCCGGTGCCTCAGCAGCAACAGCAGCCGACTTTGCCGCAGGCGATGGCGACGGGTTTTCCTCCTCCGACAGCAACGGCGTATCCATCGAGTGGATTAACTTATCCAGCCGCATGTTATCCGCCGCCACCATCGTATTATCCCTATCCCGTACCCGTGCCGTTTTACGATCCGTCTGTTCGCGCGCGAGATATCGCGCCGAATTGCGGATGCTGCGGGCGAAGGGATGTCGACTCGACGCAGATCAGAAGCGTCGCGCGAACCATCGGTTGTCGTTACGATTCCGATCTCGACGAGCATCATTGCGTGCCCACCACCGACGACACCATCTGCGCAAAGAGAAGCTGTCCGTCCTCGCTGCATCTTCAAGCATTGGCATCTCAATTCCTCTCGATGCAGGGTATCATCGCGTGCGCCGCCACGCGATTGATATTACGTAAAGTGCCCGGCTCAAACGTAACCACCACCATGGAGGATACGATGGCAAAGGCGCAGAAGGCTATAAACGTTCTGACAAAGGATCAGCTGTTATCAGAGTCGAGAAATGCGCAGCAAGTTAATGCGCTCATCAACTTGCACATGACGGCCAATCCGCCGCCCAATATTATTCCGATCCTCACTCTGGTACAGCTGAAAATGAATCTGCTGAAGGCACAGGTCGAGGGACTCGTCAATCAAAAGATTATGGAAACTCAAGGCGTCGGTGTAGAGGTACTTAATGTAAAAAATTGCACGTTAAAAATTTTATTCTTCTTCTCTATACACATACGTTTAAACTCTTGTCTCATAAAAAAAAATAATAAATTATAATGATACTAAAACTAAAACTTTATCACAACTCTAATCTGATAATAAGTTGTATAAGTTTCTAATTTTATTAAATCCTAAATATAACTAAATCATAAATATAATTAAAGAAATATTTATATAAAATTATTAATTTAAACAGTATTAAAAACACTTATATTATACATGCCAAGGTGGAAACCGATCTTATAGATCCCACGGTTCTCGCTTTAAAGTCCGATGCCGAGCTGCGAGACTTCCTATCGATATTGCGACAAAAAGAATGCGATGAACGAGTGAACGTGAATTTCGCACCCTATCGCTCGCAGCGTGCGATCGCGGAGACTCGGCTGAGCAATATTCAAAACAAGATTCGTCAAGTGGAGGCCGAGTTCGACCGTAGACGATGTGCGATGTTTCCGGCGCCGACATTGACATCGCGCGTCGTGCAGGAATTCTCCAGACCATGTTACTCGGCGAGATTCAGGGATCCCAGGTTGTTGTACAGCACATTACCGCCGGACATACCCCGCTCGCCCGATCCGTTCGTCTGCGTAAAACCGCGAAGTCCCAAGAGGCTGCTGTTGAAGCCTTGCGGAAAGAAGCCCGAAACGAAGTCGACGCAAGTCACTGCCCCTGTTCCGGCAACCAGCACGCCCGGTAATCCGTCGAAGACCACGACGGACGACGGTGGTGTCGGTTCCACAAAGGAGCCTCCCGCGACAGCCGACCTTCAGCAATCTTCCAGCACAGAGGACTGCCGCTGCGACAGGACGACATCGGACGAGAGCGTCGATGAGGCTAAAAAAAAACTCCGACCGAGGATCGTCGAGATAAACGCGAGTAACGTCGAGAAACCGTCGTCCTTGATGAAGCTAACGTCGAACGTCTGCGTGAGATACGGAGCGAATGCGCGAAAATGCGATGGGAAAAGCGACGTGGAGACTCCATGCGAAGCGAAACGTTGGATGGCCAAAGCGTATATCAATGTCGCCGACGATGAATCGGGGAGGACTTTAACGGGATCGGAGAGCGACACGATTACGCTCAGCGAGAAGATCGATGCAGAGGACGTTTGCGAACGTTTGCGAGATGCGATTGAGATTCGAGGCTTGGGCCAAATAATGGATCGGCAGGAATTTACAAGTTCGGCGGATCTGCGACAGTTTGAAAAACAAGCAGAGACTGCGATCGCAATTTCGAGAAAGAATGAGGCAATTAAGGAATACGACATTGAGACTAGGCGCTTGCAAGATGTCTCGTCGCCGAAAGCTGAACGGACGGAGATGAAAACCATAACTATTGCAGAAGTCACGGACGATGAGCCAATTTCGAGTGCGATCGAGGAAACGGAGCGAAAATCACCGAACGACTATACTTCATCGCTAGAAATTACGTTAAAGTCGAAGAGAGACCGACACGAGGATGAACAGAAAGATAAAAACGACAAAATCTTATCCGCGATTGAAACGATGGAGCAGAGCGCAAATCAAGTACCAATAAGCAAAAGCAAGAAAAAAACGAGATTTCACATTGTTTCATTGATGACGAATATCGTATATAATAACGAAAATTGTAAATATCGAGGTAAGCGGAGAATTGATAAGAAAATAGCAACAAGAGAGATGAGTATAACGAACGAACCGGATATTGAAAAATTGGATAAATACAATTCGATAGAAAATCTAAGAAATGTTATTGCGCACGATATTACTGGAAAAAATTATTCACATAATATGTTTCTACGAAGACTTGAAGATTTTTCAAAGTTCTGCGTCGATCGTCAATGTCAGACTACATCTGTGAAAAAGACAACAACATCCGCCTTTTTATTAAGAGTAAATCTCTTTCCTCCATTCAAGAATCTGCATAAATATATGGCAGGTAAGATTCATTAACTCAATAGCTCTATACTTGGGAGAACAAACTTAAATTAAAATGATTTTTCACATTTCCATTTTATAATTTGCAATTGCTTTCAATTAAGAAAAAAAAAGTCATCAGAAAATAAATGTAAAATTGTAGAATATTAGGTATATAATACAGGATTTGAAATCTCAATTTTTTATTCAGATAATGAGAGAAACGGAAACGACATAGGAGTTTATCCAAGTCCGATAACGAAAGCGGGAATTACGGCTAGGAAACGTTTATTCCACTGGAACGATGTCGCAAAAAATACCTCGGAAACTCGTCACAAGGATAACGCGCGTTATCCGCCTTCCAGTGTGGAATGCGAAGAAAGTTTTGTTTCAGAAATATTTTCTGTTATCGCCAATCGCGTGATTACATTCGTTAATAAAATAATTACATTGAACGGAAGATTGTCATATCCGAATTGCGGTGCAATATTACGTAAAAGTGTAAACATTGATGCCTTACGAAGAAACGTTCCGAAATGCAATCACCCCGATGTAATCTTAAAAGATCACGATCCACTCGCAAGTATCTTGCATCGTCCTCTCGATTCGAATCGAGAAGCACCCGGTACCAGCAAACGTGATATTCGCGACGCGAGTTTATTACGGGTTTCTACGGGAGAGGGATACAACAGGATGCGTAAAATAAGACACTCTATAATCCAAGATAAAGAAAACGATATGAAATGTTTATTGATCGATACATCGAGTCGTGATTGTAATCTGACGCAGATACGTAATTTGGGACGTCCTTACAAGGTCCAGAGAACTCTCCTGATACGCAGTCGATTAAAAAATCGTTTAAGTACGCAGAATCATCCACATCCTTTTTCGCTTTTGAAACGCACTGGAAAAAATATATCTCAAAAATTCCATCAAGTGAGACGTAACGAAAATGTAGGAATGATCAAAGAAAGAAAAATACGCAAATTGAGGAGCAGCGAAAAATTCTGGGCGTTATCGAAAGTTATAAAAACGCGTGATAAAATATCAGAAATGAGGGAATGCGATATTAAATTTAAACAAGTTTTACGCGAATATTCGCACGACGATATTATGAATAATAACGCATTTACTGTGCAAAAACACGCAATTGTCGATAATATCATAGCTGACGATGAATTCGTGATAAATGTTCACGATTATTCCGGATTTCAAACTGAAATAAATACGAATATGTACGAAAATCCCAGCGTATGTTTATTATTATCTAATAACTAATAAGGGGATTTATACGGTATATTGTTGATACCAACAAATAATTCGGAATATAAAAATATGTTATTTACAATCTCGCTGATAAGGTTAAATAAAATACACAACTATCGAGAGAGAGAGTACAATACAACTTCGTTCCTTTATTAATAACTTTTATTCTTTCGCCAGTGATCTATTCTCGTCGCTATAGCCGTCTAATGAGAATCTTTAAATTTGTGACGTAGTAATAGTGTATGACGATAAAATTTTCAATGCGCTTTTCCAGAATTATGCTTAATTCGAATTTTTCTACAAAATAATGAGAGAAAGTATTCGTCACATATTCCACGTACACTCGCATCGAACCGACATGTAATCATTACAACATGAACATTTGCATATGAAGTATGGTTTTAATTCTTTTGTGATTTTTCGATCTCTAATTTATTTATTTAATATATATTAGATTTCTTACATTCCCTAAAATCGAGCGCTTATCAGTAGAAAATGAACGAATTTAACGCATTGGTTGTTGTAAGAAAACTAATATCGCAATAATGAGAGAAATCCTATCGTATTCACATATCAAAATACACAAAACCAACGTCACATGATACTGCTTTATATATGTATAATGATTTTCAATGAATAACAAGATAATGCTTCACCATAGATCGAAATATCGAAGATAAAATGGAGTTACAATTTATACAAGTAATGTGAAATTCATATTTATGTGTGGAAGAGTTAATGTTTGCGCAAATTGTAAATACATACAAATATCAAACTTTGCAATGAAAAAGCAATTCAAAATATTAGCCAGTTAGAGCCGTGTTAATACACATTATTAATACATGTACTCTTCAAGTACATACTGTAATATCAAAGTTACAAACGGACCATATGCTTAAGATAAATATGCTCTAGATCTCTTATAGAACTACGTCTAACTGCAGACTGAAGAGACACTTGTGGAAGAAAGATCGAACCTATTATTGTGAAGTATTTATTCAGTCACGACAATCTCTGCTTTTATTATGAAAGATCTCGTTTTAAAAGGAACTGAGCGACATCTCCATCGTCACTTTTCAAAGTTCAACAAATCATCGCGTAATACAGTGTCAATTTAATACACAGTATTTTACGATTGTTGCATATACATATATATTAGATATCTCGATATTTATATATAATTAATGAAAAATTTATTAATTTTTGTTGTAATTATGTGACATATACAAGAATTTAATATCTACAATTTTACAGATTTCTTGTCACTCGCGCGTGATATCTTAAAGAATAAATATTTGATCTTCTCTGTAGCTCTTATAGCTACTATTTAGCGAGATACGGCCGTCAAACATTCACGAAATTAGTCCGTTATTATTGTTGGCAGAATCTTTTATGAAAAATGTGTATGTGTATGTGTAAATGAAAGAGAGATAGATTACAAAAAACAATGATATTGAAAACAATATATATACTTGATATATAAAATTTTTTCTCAATAAAGTGATAATTATTTTTTGGCGTGGTGCAACAATTGCATATGGACATTCGTTCATAATACGTGTGTTAGTCTTAAACCTAAAAAAAAAAAAGAAAAAATTTTTTGTTAAATCTCTCAATCAATATCAATTGTTTTTCAAATATTATTTTTGATGAGTAAATATATACAAAAATATTTACAGAGAGAAATACATGTACACCCCCATTACAAGCAATCAAAGTAATGGTGTGTTATAAAAAAATGCGATATATATAATTTAGTTAAAAATTAATATTTCCTATGACAAATCTTTGATCAAGAACTTAAAAAACTAAACAAGTACTTGCAATATATGATTACTAAAATATATATTTTACATTTATAATAATACAAATTGCAAATAAAATTTTTTTATATAATTTTAACAAAGAACGAGATAATAACCAATGATCCAAGATTAAATAAATGCAAATGTGAATACATAGCGTAATGTATAATGAATCTAAATTTAATACATTGTACATATATGTTACCTGTGTGCTATAATGTAAAAACTTGAATTACTTAGAAAAACCATGATGGTCACGAGCTATAAAAGTCAGTTATTTTTATCATTGCCATGATAAACTTCAAAGAAACATGACCATTGAAAGTTAAGTAGGCAATTGCGCATCTTTAAATCTCTGTTGATTTTATTCCGAATATATCTGGATTTCATTGTCCAGATATATGTACAAGTTGAATTTCTTGGTCGAGAATGTCAACTTGGACAAAGGCACGATTGACCATAGATAATACTTGTGCAAAAAATATTACTATATAAAAATTAAAACTCTCCCCACACATTTCAAAAACTAAAGTAACAATAAATATAAGCAAAGCGAATACTATTTTTTGTATACAATGTACAATCGAGAGAGGTCCTGTCTCTTTTCTTTCTAATAAAAATATGCAGAATCACTATTTTTTCGCTCCGAAAACGAAAAACCATTCAGACGCATCAGTCCCCGCTTTCTCAGTTCTCGCTAAGTTCATTAAAGTTTTCTTTTAAATGTATTAAGTTTTTTTTTTAATTCACGCCTTTGGTATACTCAGCTCTTAATTGGCCGAGTGTTACTTTTATATCGTGAAAACTCGGTCTTTTTTCTGGCTGTAAATCCCATGCCTATCAAAAAACAATGTGTCTTACTAAAATAATATGATGTATATAATATATGGCAAAGATTAAAGTTTAATTTACCTGTCTCATAATATCGTACACTTCTGCAGGACATCCATCTGGCGGTTCCATTTTATACCCTTTTTCTACACACTTTACAACATCGGCTAATGGCTGTAATTATAATAACGTATAAACGAAATACATCGCATGTTTTTTTATAAAAGTTCAATACGACAATATTACTTACAATTCGCGGATACGGCACACGACCAAAGGAATAAATTTCCCAGAGTAGGATTCCAAAACTCCACATATCAGACTTGTTTGAAAACTTCTGGAAACAGCAATATAATACAATATTATAACAATATATCTTTGAGTCGCCTATAAGTTATCACAGATTAATATATACTTACGTTTTGTTTTAAAGCCTCTGGTGCAGTCCATTTGATTGGCAGCTTTCCACCGTCGAGAGAAAAGTTTTCGTCCCGTGCCAGCCCGAAATCGGATACTTTAGCGGAGTTGTCCTCTGCCACAAGAACATTTCTCGCTGCCAAGTCCCGATGAACAACGTGTCTGGATTCCAGATACGCCATACCAGCACACGTATCGCTACAATATACATTAAAAATGCGCGGTTAGTAATACATTTAAATATTTTTTAATCGGCGCGAACGAACGTTCATTCTTACGTACTATGCAAAGTTTATCTGATCCTTTTTAGAAACGTGTAATCTTCCTCTCGAGCGTAAATAATCCACCAGGGATCCTTTGCTCATATATTCCGTAACCAGGTACATGTGTTGATTATTAAAGACGAGACCGAGTAATTTAACCAGATTGTCATGTATCAAGGAGGTCATTAAACTCGCCTCGGCCAGAAACCTCTGCGCCGCCTCGCTGTTATCCTTCAGCATTTTCACGGCGACTCTCTCCCCTCGATAGACGCCTAACAGTACATCGCCAAATTCTCCCTTTCCAATGCATTCTCTTAATTCTAACTCATGAGTCTGAATCACCCAGCCGGCTTCTACAAATGCCTTTGGGTCCACGCAGAAATCTTGCTTGCCCTGTTTCGGTAGGGATTTCGTTAGCTGTGTGCATAAACCGTCCGCGTCCTGCTCGTAATGTTCCACCAAGAGCGCCAGATTCTCGAAAAATTCTTCATCGTCGATCGTCAATTGGTTGTTTTTATATTTCACCCTATAATGCTGTACGCGTCCTTGGTAGCATACGCAGAGCGTGTAGTCTCCGGGGAAATTCGTTGACTCGCGAACTAAGAACAAACCGTCCTCTCGCGGTCGCAATAATCTTTCTGCCGTTTCTCTAGATATCTTTCCGTGGAACCATCTGTAAAATTTTAGTAAAGTAAATAAAATATTATAGATTTTTAATTTATAATGTTTAATTTATAAAGTAACACATGAAAAATATTTGATTCATATGTCTATATCAATTTTTGCATATCCTACTTTTTTAAAGTTAGTAAACATGACCGATCTACAAATTGTTACATCTGTAAATGTTAAGCTAAATGCATCATAGAGTGATGATACTTACGGCATCGCGTTTAGCTTCACCTCGTGTCGCGGATTTACCGGCAACGCAGTGGTGTTAGTGCCCGGATTAATGGCGTTCGAGGTGAGAATCACCGGCGAGGACGCAGCGTTCACATGCGTGGTGATGTTCGGGGTGGTGACGCTCGAATGCGTGGTCATCGTCGGTGATACTGGATGGGACGGAATGTTACCTGCAGACAGGTTTGAAGGAACGCTGTGCTGCTGCTGCTGAGTGCTGTTTTGTATGAGGGGATGGGACGTTACGTTTGAAGGGATAGTGTGATGATTTTGATTGCCGTCGAGCTTCGCTTGTCGCGCTGGTGCTGACACATTCGGGTATCCGCCACCCGCATTGTGGTACGTTGGCATGGCAGCTGCCGCACAGTAGGCTCTATCAACCTGCGAAGATGAATGAAGCGCATTCACATGAGCGGGCGTGATTTATTCAGTATGCCTCATTAAATAAGACGCATATTAGAGATGTTCTCCGGTACATTCGTGATTCATATATAGAATATAACGCAGGACACAAAATAAAAATGTGAGACGGTAGAAGAGTTTGAGATACCAAGGCGTAATTTCAACATTTTAAAAAATATATAAAAATGTAAAATATAATTGTTACAAACAATGTTCATATCGTCGAGATTCGCGCACAATGATCCTTGTACATATTCGGTTTAATCTTGTAGTTTAGATTTCTTTTGAGATAAAAGTCTTTTCGGGTCATGAACATAATGGATAATCATTCTTCTACTTTCTCCTGTACTGGGGAGAATGTTAAATTGGGTCGTTAAATACTTGCGTACTCGATAGCTCTTTTTCAATTTTTATCCGGGATCATCTCAAGAAGCCGCGAAAAGAAAAGAAATTACGTACGAAAATACAAGTGAAGTCGCGAGGTGATAATTGAGTCGGGACGACTCAATTATTCCAGAGATGCGATGTAATGCGCGCATCCGTGAGGAAGCGATAATTAATTGAAACTCGTTAGGCTAATGGGACCTCGATACATATTCAACCGGTACACGTATCCGCCAGACCACGCTGAGTTTTAATATACAGTAGTTAGTCTAAAGTGCCTATTGTTTCAAGGCACTATACTACCGCGATGCTCATCTGCCGCATTACGATGCGCCGCACGTCCATACACGGGACGTGTATGATAGGTGAGTCATACTGGCCGCGTATTATTTTCACAACGATTGTAACACGAATAAGCGTGGTAGGCCTATAATTATCAGAACCTGACTAAGCGACATAATTTCTACGTAGAATGCACATTTCCGATTGAAAATTTATTGCGAGAAATCATAAATCGCATCTATTTTGATATTTGAATATATTCTCTATCGTATTCTATTTTGGTAACGAAATTTTGTCAGATCGGATCAATTTATCGGAACACGCATGCGAGAGACATGCGGAGAAATATTTCCGCCAGTTTAGATGAATGAAACATTACAGCACGTACGATACGCTTCGTAACGCAGGGAATAGCTGTTTTAAAGAAAATGCTTCCCGGCATGATTTCCTTACGTTATCTGTATCATGATCAGGTACGATAACAGAAGAAACAAATCCATCGTACCGGCAAATATTGAATAATTCAACTGAGAAGCTATCCTTGGTCGGGTGCCCGCCAGACAGAAAGAGAGAGAAACGAACGAGCGAGTTATGTCACGTGAAAACGTATAGTTGAGCGAAACATAATAATAAGAATAATAATATGCGAATCGTTCTGTTACGTAAATCCCCTCCCCCTCCCAAGCAGTCACATTTATGTCGTATGTCCCCGCTCCGGATTTCGAAACAGACGGATGAGAACGGTCAAGCTTTACGCGCGCGTCGAGAAGAATATGAGATACGGAAGGGAATATTAGGCGAGATATCTTTCGTTTTGAAAAATATCGGACTCACACCGCGATCGAATTTACGATCTGATAGAACTGCATAATTCAGATCACGCTGGCTGCACGTAACATTTGACGAAACAAGAACGGAGAGTTAAACGTTGAATTTTATAGGCCAGAGGATCACCTCCCGCGTCTTTCTTTACGGAATTTTGTTCGGCCAAAAAACAGCATCGCGCCCGTCAAACGCGAAACGCTTTGAATATCAATATTGAATCCGAATGCGCGATGCGTACACGTGTAATACACGTTCGCCGTCGCGCTTGTTGGATTATCCGACTGCACGACCGCGTAGATTTCAGGCTAATGAAATTTATTATCGGCTGCACGCGACGTTAATTCTTCCCAGCGGTGCATAACACAGACACCCTGTATATGCAGTTATAAATTTGCCATTTATATGACGCAAACTATTTATATCTTGAATATCAATGATTCAAAGGAAATGCGTGCGGCTTCTATAGAGGTTCCGTATATACAAAATATTTGATGAGTAAAATACATTGTCAATCGTGAGAAAAAACTTTACCGATCAATGGACAAGAAATTGATTTGAAAATTTTATTGTGCACAAAAATATATTCAGCTTTGGTTTAATCTGATAATCATTCATAATATCCGTAATCTCTTTCTCGCTCTCTATCTCTCTCTCTCTTAGGACTTGTAATAAATATTTTGAAAAAGTGTACTATATAAATGGATTGTGTTATTTTATTTTCAGAAAAGTAATACTTTCTGTATAAGACCGACGGATATACTGTTTCGGTTCTGATACAGCAAAATGGCTAAAATTCTCAAGTTTCCAAGCATGCTTATCAGAGATATAGAAATGCAAAGTAAATCAAGTATTTTACAAGGCAAATATCATTACGTGTCCGTTTCGCGAGAAAAAAGCCTCAATAAACTTCGTAAAATATCTCGAATCGATCGAATAGTAGATTGCGATGTCATACGTTTATGTTAATTTTAACAGGAAACGGAGACGCAATTATGCGTTTCGTATGCAGATTTCAAGGCCGACGCGGAAGTTTCTGTTTACATCTGTATTTTCCGAGCTCTAGCTTTCCGATAGTGATTCACTATCGGGATGCTTTTATATGAACCGCAGACCGCAGAGTTCGCATTGCGCACATATTTTGCCGGGAGCGACGTGATTATATTCGCACATGGAAAGCCTACGTTTACCGGCAAAAAGTGTTTCCCTGTGATGAGATTGCGGTGTGAACGCGACCATAAGCTTTCTGGACTGAACAATAAATTGGAATAATCAGGATTCCCATTGGCTTCTGACGAGTAGGACGAAAAGGATTCCTATGAGCGGAGTATCTCGTATCTTCTCGTAGAAAATGAGTTATTTACTAGAAGCCTCCTTTCTTAGAACAGGATTACACGTTGAAAAAGAATTTGCATATCGAAATATATCTGTCCAGAACTTGAAAGATTTTCCTTCATCTTCTTAAAGAGAGATAACAATCTATATAACAAACAGAAAAAAATTATATAAAGAATAAAAAAATACAAATATAAAATATATAATAAATAAAAAAATTATATAAAATGTAATACACAAAATATCTATATTTTTTTAATTATATTAGAATACTCTCCGAGAGCCTAAGAAATCCCAAACGGACTGAATCACCGCAACGGAATCGAATGTTTCGTATTCATCAAATTAGGTACGTATTACACTGACAGCGAACGAAAATTTTCCGCATAGCTGATTCACGTAAAATCGTCCACACAAGACAGACAACAAAATATTCAAGATCGCTGGCTTCGCGAAAGCGATTTACGCGAGGCTCGTGCCCGGCACGCACCGCGATCCTATTAATATCCCGCGTAGAGAGAGCGTAAAAGGGCCGCGAAAGACGCGGGGAAGAGGAGGATGAGGTAACGGGGGGAGGAGGAGGAGGAGGCAGTGAGAGACGAAGAGGCAAGTGCGGGCGCGTGCAACAGATTCGCGCCCGGCGAACAAGACCGTGGTATTGCCGCGCTCTTTAACAGTACACGTTACTGTACCGTGACCCGCACCACCGTTTTCCATCTGACGTTCCGCACGCACAACGGGGAGAGGAAGAGAGGACAACAAACCTTCAATTCTCCTCTTCTCACACTTCTTCCGCGATGTAATTTCCGAATGTTTCGCGACCATCGTAAAGGACACCTCGCGCTCCTCCAATCGCACCGACCAGTCTCCGGATTAGCACGCTGACGGGATTATCACACGATCAAAACGCGAAATTTCATTAGTCATTCTTGCGCGTGGCAACGCAATAAGATCGAAAGATATACCGGATCACCCTTTTTTTCGTATACGAATTCTAGAAACAATTTCTTGGCATGGATTCGTTGTCCAACAAGACTGCTAATCCACGAATCATTTTCGAATTAAATGATTAAAGGATGAAATCGCAAGGATAGATATTTTATCGTTTCTGCGGGCTCTAATATCACATCTGCTTTCTAAGTTATTTCTATAATTATTCATTATGTATATTGATCAAATAGGGCGATTACATTATTAATTTTAACAAGTCTCAAAACGGATAATAGATAAAATTAAATGAATGATAAATTTTACTACTTTATCCTAGTATATCTCAAATTTTTTCATGTTTGATTCATATAATTCTTAACGACGCCGACAAAAGCGAACCGTCCGAAGCAACGTCGAATATACAAGTAGATCGTATCGTGGAATACGTGAAACGCGAATGGCACCACCATTGAGTAAGCGGGATCAAACACTCGGCACTTGGTTCTCGTATAAAGGGAGAATTGAAATGAACACAAAAAGCAGCGTTTATCTCTCTTCTCTCGAATCTCTCTAGCATACTTACTCGCGCCTCGTGCCAAAACATAGAGCGCTGAATAAAATACGAGTTCCGTTGAAACACAGCAATGGAACGCGAAATTTCTAGCTTCTGCTGTGTGTACGCATCGTAACATTAATCTCTTCGAATCTGTCTCGCTCGAAATTAACTCACGATAGAATGCGGAGATTAATCTAGCGTAATGCAAAGTGTTTTGGAAGCACACCTATGCTTTGCATCGAGTATCCATTTTCCGAAAATATTGCCCCTCTGAAACAGAAATAAAAAAGTGTTAAAAAAATTTCTATCTTCATCTTAATTTCTATATTACATATATTTTTCATACGGAAAACATCTACAAATAACTATTGCGTGGATCATTACGAGAATAACAGTGCAATTGCAAGAAATAATAAGCGGATATTCAAAATCCAATATCGTCAATATTTGTAAATGAAGTGTTTATTACAATAAGTTAAATGTAATGTTACACATATATGTAGAAGATAAGAATACAGAACTGTATTTTTTCGCCATTGCTTGAAATGTTTTTCCATAATGATCAACCTTTTTACTGATATATTTTTTTACGTATACAGATGCAACGTTTCAAGTCCCGTCATTCGGCGGAAGGTCGCACGTTCTCGTCGGTGCCTTCCTCAAGCCGAATTAATTAGGTAAGAAGAACATAGGATAAAAATCTCGCTCTCGAGTTTGCGGCCGCGATTAACAGGAAAGAAGGAAGAACGTTCCATTTGAGGAGCACAATTAAACTACGACTACGTTATTCATCGCGCGCGAGCGTCGCCCGTTAACCGTATAATTAGCCAATTGCTAATTGCCCGGGTTCACACGAGACCACCGAGGCCAGTTCGCCAGACCCCGGGACGCATTAATCACTCGTTCGTTTCGTACAAAGTTCTTCTCGCGCCGCAAATCGAACCGGGTCATGATGTCAGAGAGGATATAGAGACCCGAAGAAGCATACTTCGGAGAAAAGCCCTAGGAGTCGGTTGTACGGAGACGTACGGATTAGTCCCAATTTATATTTTTATATCTTTATCTCTTTTTATAATTTTCAGTTTAGGAAAATATTTCGGAAAGAGACTTTGCGTTAACTGAAGCATCTAAAAAGAGTAAAACTGTTTTTTTATTCTTGTTAAACATTAATAAGAGATATATGTCTATTCTCGAAACACTGATCACAAAATGTATTTTAGAAACTGATTACTTAACGATTTCAAGCAAGTAATACAAATTATCTTTAGCTCAGCGCATTGTTAAAATTCCGATAGCTAATTCACAGTATTTTCTGATGGCCTTTGCTCTATTGCCAATGTAATACGAAATATTTCAGTTCTGCTGATGTAGTAATAAATCTCAAAACTTTATTTTAGAAAAGGCAAATTACTCTTGATAATACTAAGGAGCTCCATTTCCGTGGTATAACATATCTTCACGCATTTTCTCTTGCGGTGGATCAGAACTTGATGTAATCGAATAAAACGACAATTTTGATTGAGAAAACAGACGCGAGTTTGCGTTCAAGGGAATCGCACCGAGATGTTCGGATCTGTCATTTAAATACCGCCCACTAAGAGTGACAGAGAAAAAAAATCACGTCTCGAATATAACCAAACTCTCGCGCACGCGGATCCCGAGACAAGGAAAACGTCACCGAACGAAGGGTCCTGGCGCCGCTCTGTCGACGTTTCGTACGCAGACAGGCAGATGTACGCGCGTATGTACGCGTAATGCGATAATACACACCTAAATGCGTTTGCGGCGAAACTGAACCGCCGTGGAGGCCGTGGAAATAGGCGCACGTCTCTGGCCGCGTGATCGGCCGAAACTTAGGCGCGGACAAGGATGCGGACGGACGCGGTACACGCTGCGACAGACGTGCGCGTTGACGCGCACGAATTTTCATGGAAGCACTGCGCGGCGCGAATCGCGTACGGAAACACCTTGCGAGAAACGTCACTCATTCAGGTCGAGTCGGACGGCCATTTTACATTTTACTACGCACGACCATAGACTATAGACATGTTGAAGAGAGGAGAACCTTGAGCCGCGCACGAGACCCTGAAATTGTCCGCGTTAGTGATTGCGTCGGGAACTCTTTTTTTTTTTAACAGCGATAATAGGATGACTTCTTAGTTCCCGGATGCTGCATTTCAAAATTTAATTGAATAATAATTAATTGAAATTAATGGCAAAATTTTTCACTTTTCACGGTCTGTCCTAGGGAAAAAGTTACAAGATTGATATCCAGAAGTAAGTAGCGGTCGATTGACCAATCAGAACAAAGAAACGACGATCTTTCTTTGCTCTGATTGGTCGATCAGACGCTACCCGGAGTAAATTTTGAAATATACGAGCAGCCATATTGCATGTATATAAATGTTATCGCTTTAGATAAGGCGCCTTTTATTGTTTAAAAAGTGGGATTTTCGTTAATTAATTAATAAAAATATATATTTGTAATGAGTGAATCCCTTTTCTTAAAATATATTACTGACATTTAATTTATGATAGGTAGTTTGGAGAACAGTTTGCTATGCGTTTTCTTGAAACTTTGGCAACTACGGATTTAACCTCCTAATCTAGATGGTTCGTGTTTCAGAATTGTAATTTCTTGCAATTTCCATATGGTGATTGCTCCCGTTGACAGTACAAAGCTCTTCTGATCGTAATCTTATCTTTGATTTTATTGCGACACGATGGCATTGCAATTACAGATTTTGTCGAATATTCTGCAGGTAAACGACGTTGTTTCAGTCAATAATAATTGAAAAGTATCTAATTCATATTGTAAAATAGAGACACTTATCTCTTCACATCATTAGTGATATCATTTTTTCGTTCAATATACTTAAATACAATAATACATTCGGTGTTTAAATGTCATTTTCAGCGATTAGAATGTATGGAAACTACAGCAAGTGGCTATCTTTATGGTATTATGTACAATAATACATTAGTAGTCCTAACATTCAGTTTAAACTCGCATGATAATGAGGATGAAAACGTAATTGATTATACAACACTGCAATTCAATCTACCTGCAGACATATATTTTTGTGGTATATTACACATTGGTGAATGTAAAGAAGTAAATCCTGATGTTTTTAAGGTGATTATATATATAGATATCATTTATATGTGATACGTCATTTATACATGTATTAATATTTGACAAAGGATTTGTGGAATATTTATTTTGAAATTGCCTTATTATTATGAAAGAATAAAACAATACAAATATTGCATGGATTAATAAGATAATATATATATTTATTTGTTTAGGATATCGATATTACAGATAATCCCTTACTTTTAAAATATTCACGCAATACATTGGATATGCAGGCATACTTTTATGTGCATCAAAAATTGGAAGCTGTTAATAACCTCAGTATTATTACTGAAGATGATCTTTCTCGACAATTTGTGTACATTAGATTGCAAGCCACTTTCCCATTGGTTGCTCAAGATGAAAACATATTGGAAGCGTTACAAGAGTCACGAAAAAATGTAAGAATTTCTTATTTGATTTGACATTTGTGCCAATATTTTATTTCATAGTTTTATACACCATACATATTGCATAATTTTACATTGTTATAGATTGCATCTGGAAAAATAGGAATACATTTTCCTGTGAATAATGTATATCTATTTAGAACTGATGACAGTTTAAAAGACGCAATGTTAAAAGATTTTTTATCCTTGTCTAAAGAACACGAGAGATCTTCAACTGCGTCAAATAATATAAATCATAATATTGGACCTGTGGTATGTTTCCAAAATCTAAATTTATATGCACTTGGAAAAGTTATTATTTTTATATATAATTTAATTATCTTTTTAATTTTCACAGAATATCATACATGCAAACATGTTATTGAAGATATCAGGTGAGAAAAATTATGAAGAATCTATCAGATATGCTCCTGTATTGCAGCATATCAAACGTGAGTATTGCAAAACAAGATACGATTTTTCAAAATATAATAATCTGTAAATATTGTAGATATTGATACATTATGTTTTTAATTTATTCTTGTTACAGGATCCTTTGACAGTTTACAATGCAATCTAAGCATCAATGCATTGTCGCTAGTGAGTTTAAATGCGACATCAGCCGAGTTGCATGCAATTCTAGTCGAGTCCATTTGTCAGAACATTAGATTAATTGAAATGCAGCAACAAAATCCCCAGTTTGAAGATATAAAGCTATCTGCAAAGTTACCAGAAGTCATGCATTTTAAACCTCGAGGCTGTGGGCATTTACTCACAATAGTATATCCTGGTGATTTTACTAACGATAGCACAAGTAAGATTTCACTTGTATCGTGATTTGGCTGTTGTTAGTCATATAATACATTTTTCGATTGTCGAGTCCTATATATCATTTTTACAGTAGTATATAATTAATATTACCGCACGTTTTTAATGACGCACAGTAATATACGTGTCATCTATTTGCTTTTATACAGACCAGTCATATAATTTCAGTGGAATATCGTAGGGCTTTACACAAGGCTTTAGCGTTAGATTTAACTAAACCATATTTTCGACGTGGAAATGCTATAAATTTCGACATTCAGGCAAACGAGATACTTCTAAATCCTCATGAAGCCCTTTTAAATAAAGGTATATGTTTAAGCACTTAAGATTTACTACAATTTTGAAATTATTATATAATTACTATAATATATTTATTAGGTATTACAGGAAAACTCAGTATTGTGGATGGTTTATATTCGTATCATCACTATATGCAAAATAATTTTGACGATAATGGATGGGGATGTGCCTACAGATCTCTCCAAACCATCATTTCATGGTATAGGTAATAAAATGTCAAATAAAATAACTATATCTTACAGTGTAGCAAATTTGTTTTTTTTGCTACTGAAATATGTATACAAGCAAGCTCCAATCTATTGTATATTATAGATTACAAGGTTATACTGAAGTACCAATACCCTCTCATCGCAAAATTCAACAATGTTTAGTCGACATAGGCGATAAACCTTCCACATTTATTGGCAGTAAACAGTGGATTGGTTCGACTGAAGTAAGTTTTGTGCTGCAGACTTTCCTTAATATAGATGTAAAAATACTTTATGTATCAAGCGGAGAGGAGATGTCGGCCTTAATTCCACAACTTGTAAAACATTTTGATACACAGGGTACACCTATTATGATTGGTAATTTTTTTCTTCATGTTCTACAGATATAATGATTGAATATATTTAACAAAATATTTCCATTTTGTTCTGTACAATTTTTTGATATCTTGTAGGTGGGGGAGTATTAGCTCACACAATTCTGGGAGTTAGTTATGACGAGTCATCCGGAGAGGGAAAGTTCTTAATTCTAGATCCACATTACACAGGCATAGAGCACTTACCTACCATAATAAATAAAGGATGGTGTGGATGGAAAACAAAAGATTTTTGGAAAAAAGATGCATTTTATAATATGTGCCTTCCACAAAGGCCTATAGCCTTCTGATGTTAGATAGACTGTACATAATTTAATTTTTTAAATGTATATATAAGTAAAATGAAATTCTCTATTAAATATTAAATACATACATCTCTATATAAAGCAATTTTCACAATATTGTATCATTGCATTTGTGAAACATTGTTTCACTTGGGTGATATATATGAAACAATAAAAATAATGAATATGTGAATATTTACGAGTAAGTTTGAAAAGTAACAAAAAATTGATATTGGATTTGTCATACTATCATGTTGCAAACTCATTAAACTTATAATATTTAACAATATTTTTATTTTACGCTTTAAAATACAAAATATATGCAAGATTTTATTAATATTAACCAGAAAATGCAGAGATATTTTGTATATGTATTATTTTATTATATATTCATATAAGTATTAAATTACAAATATAAAGATAGTTTTATCATTTTTTTATAATTTTAAGATACTATTGTTATACATATAGCTCATTGTAATTTTAAACAATCGTATACCTTAACAATGCGTTCTATAAAATCTTATTTTTCTATAGCATTTATGTATTGTCCAAAACGACTAGTAACAAAGACAGAAACATCTATAAATCTATTGACACAATTATTTATACAAGTTTCTGTACGTCCATCCAATTTACTTCCTGGTTTATCCACACATTTGTCCCAACAAATATCGTTGAACTCGTGAATCTAAATAAAAAATATTTTTATAAACGATATTTCTATGAACATATAAAATTCATGAAAGATGAATGCATAAAATTTACCTGTGCATTGAGTTGGGCTTTTTGCTTTTCGACCATCAGAAGTCCCGCTATTTCGGGATCAATTCCTTTGGCATCATTGGCATCATACAAAGAATTGTTATCAAACGAATCTGCCATACTTCAAAATTGCAGCGATCGATTTACAAAATCTTATTGCGTATATGAAAATACGGATATTTGCAAAATTTACATGCGGCAATTATCGATAAATCCTAGAGAAAAGAAATGAAAATGGAAGACGGTGCGTGTGCGTGTGTTACGACTTACGAGATATCAGATTTTCGCGCATGCGTGTATGCGTGACAGCGTGACCCGAGTTTTGGAGTAGCGAAAGAGAACAAAACTCTTGTCACAAAAGACATATTTAGAGTAAGTAAAAACGAATAAATTATATAATAATATTCAATTCGTGCGATATATGGATCAAAACATTATTAAAAAGACTGTTAAACAACAAGAAATTAAATAATGTTTAGAAAACATTTCATACACCTACACCCAACTCTTATAGAAGTAAATACATATTACATTTGTTCAGAATATATCAGACGTATTGACTGGCTGTTGGATAGAGAATTTCTATGATTCCCAAAAGTTTTTTGCAATAACAGTGAATAACAGTCAATCAGTATATTCAACAGTTTGTCATGCGATAAGTGTAATGGCAACCTAATTACTCGTGATGGCTACTCAACTCGCAAACGATCTAACCTGATCAGTTTTTTTTTTTCCTATCTGTATCTTCGTGTATCTCCTTGTGTTTTGGTTTCTTCATGATATAATAAATTACATTACAATCGTAAAAATAAATTGTATAAAGGGATGCCTATAGAGATTATGCAGTTCCATGTGTCTATACAGCAGAAAGCCGTCTCGCTACTCCGACCCCCGTCGTACCTTCTCTGTTTTCCGTTGTAGACAGGCGCTGATTAGTTAACTTTAACATCATATAACAACGAAAAGAAAGCTCAGATCAAAAAATGGTTCAGGACTTTTCGATTTGAATTGTTGTTCTGTATCTGATAGTATTGTCCATATGCGTTTGTTTAGTTACACCCAGTATATATAATAACTCGACAGTTACAAAGTTTGAAATATCATTCCTAATAATTCTGATTAAAAAATTATAGTATTCTATACAATTTATTTATTTATTTCAGTAAATATTCAAAATGTTTTTCATCAAAATCTAAACATTTATTGATGCAATAACAAAAGGAATGCCACACGTTTATACTTATACTTCAAATCTTTGTAATTGTGTTGATGTATGCGTTATTATCAAAAATTCTTAACTTGCAAAGATATTAAGATTAATAAAATCTTTAAAAATAAGAATTTAATTACTATTTTATTTCAATTTTGGTTTTTTATATAGTATGAAATAGCTTTTTATTCAAAGAAATTTAAATTTAAATATATTGATATTTTTAATAGTTTTCTGGAAATGTGTAACAAAGTTAATGAAATACCCTATATATATATAAAAAGATCACTCATTTCGTATAGCACACCATATATGTGACCAACAGTATTGCATAAGTTTATATATCTTATATGTTTAAAGCCTATTTGTGGACACATAAGAGATTTTTTGTATGTATTCAGTAAACATAATTTTCAAGCGTATGTTTGTCTGCTGAGCTGAAGACCAAGTATACGGTTTTAATTAGCACTATCGCAGAACTCCAGCTAGTAACAGGTTCAATCTCTCAATGTTGTTCTTGTCTAGATCTGGAGTTTCAGTAATGCGATGGAACTCTCAGCCACCCAGAGAATCTGATGATAAAGTAACGATTTACTTGTATACAATATACTCTCATGGATACGTAATAGGCCCCAGACTGCTAACACTAATGCAAATGTCCAATTTTCATTGCCATTTGTGTGGTTTCAAATTGATTGGACTTTGGTGTCATTGGTGGAAGTGGTGTGGCCATACAACGTGCTTAATACGTATTAATCTATGGATTTAAGTTTACTGGATATTTGTTATTATTAACCATATTTACCATTAATTTGTATACATTGTATAATTACAATTTTATATATATGTGTGTACGCAATTGTGAAAAGTTAATACTATTATAACCAGAACTCAGATATTTAGGTTCTATAAATCAGATGCTTTGTCTGGCAGATAAATAATAGAAAGTAAAAGGATAGGACTATTCTACTGTTATTTGTATAGCAATTAGTTGTCACCTAAACATCTGAGCTTTTTATTCGCATTTTATAGTATTTTAACAGATACTTCATCACACATATGCAATGGAAGTTACTACAGAAGAGACAACTATGGAAGTTAGAGCATCAAAAGATAGTGAAAATAATCAAAATCAGAATACATTGGATTGCGGAGCAATTTCTTGCCCACAACGCGAGAATCAAAATTGGGGGACACCATATACAAAGTCAACAGAATTAGATCACAGTATTATGTCTTTTGGCATGCCGGATGATAGTCATTGTAGTGATACTATGGATGGAGAAAACGTAATTGACAAAGACACTTTATGCAATGGTTCATATCAGGGAACTCCAGAACATAACATAGATATGAATACTACTTCTGACGATTTACGACAATTTGACGTGCTAGACGATCTAGATCGTCATCCAGAACAGAATGATGGTTCTGATAGCGACTCAGATACAGATGAGAGTATGGATTCTGATGTGCCGGACGAAGAAATTGAAGCAATGCTAGAAGAAGGTAATGTTCCTACAAGTTCAATAAATGAGATAATTAACTTTGTTTTCGAAATCAGATTGTTCTTTATAGCAAAAAAAAAAAAAAAGATTATTTGATTATTATTTTTTTTTTTTATGTAGTGCACAGTGTTGTCAAGTTTTTATTTTCTTATTTTTTAATTATTATGTATTAGGTTTACCCGAGGAATTTAAAGGAAAAAGAAGAGACAAAAAAGATAGTTTACCCTATGAGGAAAAGGAAAAACTTGTTTTAGATGGTATGTAAGTACATATAGTATATCATATTATATAAACTTTGTAAATTATCTATTTACAAATAAATTGTAATCTCGTTATTGTATTATATAATTATTTTATATTCGTGTTGCTTTTTTTCTTTCTTTTAGAAATTGGGCATAATCATTTTGATGTTCTCCCTGAGGGTTGGGTACAAGTAACGCACAATAGCGGAATGCCATTATATCTTCATATATGTAGTGCACAGTGTTGTCAAGTTTTTATTTTCTTATTTTTTAATTATTATGTATTAGGTCTACCCGAGGAATTTAAAGGAAAAAGAAGAGACAAAAAAGATAGTTTACCCTATGAGGAAAAGGAAAAACTTGTTTTAGATGGTATGTAAGTACATATAGTATATCATATTATATAAACTTTGTAAATTATCTATTTACAAATAAATTGTAATCTCGTTATTGTATTATATAATTATTTTATATTCGTGTTGCTTTTTTTCTTTCTTTTAGAAATTGGGCATAATCATTTTGATGTTCTCCCTGAGGGTTGGGTACAAGTAACGCACAATAGCGGAATGCCATTATATCTTCATAAGCAAAGCAGAGTTTGTACTCTGGCAAAGCCGTATTTTCTCGGTCCGGGAAGCGTCAGAAAGCACGAAGTTCCTGTAAGTGCCATACCTTGCCTTCAGTACAAAAAAGCTTTAATAGAAGAGGAAGAGGAGCAAAAGAAGGAAATGGAACGTGCACCAAACGCCGAAGCTTGCAGTCTTCCCAGCGCAAAAATTGAAACCATACAAGAGAATCGTGCGGCTCATTCGTTAGATAGCGAGCAGTTGAGGAATTATTGCCAATCTTTGTTTCGTTTCAAATCTATTAAAGTAATGAGGTTTCAGTAAGTATCACGTATGAGATGGTTATATTATTGGGGAAAATTTGCTTTATTGATATTGACCAATTTTACTATTTTAGATCTTGGTCAGCGCGTCGGAAATTTACGAAGAATAAAAAGCATCGTAAGCAACTTGAGCGTCCAACTTTACCAGATGGTACAAAATTAATAACTTTTCCCGTCAGTAGTTCCAGTACAGCTGGCAGTGGAAGTACTACTGGTGATGATAATGGACAGAGACCTGCAAAACATTGGATAATGAATCCATCTGGCAAAAGTTACGTCTGTATTCTTCATGAATATGTGCAACATGCGCTAAAGAAACAACCGACATATAAATTTAAAGAATTAGGTACAATTATACATTATTTAATCATGCATAAAATGTAGTGTGTTATATGTTTAATATTTATTATTATTATGATATCAAGTTTATTTGTAAAATTTATTACCAACAGAATCGTTATATTTTTATTGCAGAAAACGCGGCGACACCGTATTCCGCAGTAGTTTGTATCAATGACATGGAATACGGAAGCGGATTCGGTAGCAGTAAAAAACAAGCAAAGGCAAATGCAGCGCGGAAGACACTTGAAATCTTAATTCCTCAGATGAAGGATAAAATTTCCGGCGATAACGGCGGAGATAATGGATCAAATAACGCTAGTCGTACGATAAAAGCGTCTAGAGGGAATTCCGACGCAGATCTCTCGTTCTTCGATGAAATATCTATCACAGATCCGCGTGTCGCAGAATTTTGTGCGAAAACCACAGAGCCTTCACCGCATGCTATCTTGATAACTTGCCTTCAAAGAAACTATGGTTTGGGAGATATGCATATTAATTATTCAGTAAATACATTGAAGCATCAACGAAATGAATTTACAATGACAGTTGGAAAACATGAAGCTACCGTCGTAAGTCTCCCTCTACTTATTATAAATAGAATAATAAAATAATGTTAAATAACAAGAATCGTATACGTATGTTAAGGTATTTTATAGATTTATATATTATTTATATATTTTTGAAATTATTGTTATAACATGGTAATAATGTTTGTATATATTTTATAGGTTTGCCGTAATAAGAAAGATGGTAAACAGCGAGCGGCACAAGCGATACTGCAGCTTATACATCCACATATACAGTCTTGGGGTTCCTTGTTGCGTCTTTATGGATCACGAAGTGTAAAGTCTTTTAAGGAAAAGAAACAATTGGAACAAGAAATAACCCTTTTGCAGGGTAAAGCCGCCGTTAATCAACCGAATCATGCTATTTTAGATAAACTTAGACAAGAAATGAAAAAGTTAGCCGAACAACGCGAAGCGATACAACCTATTGGTAAGTTTGTACCACCAGATTTACCAACAGGATCCGCAGCTAATTTGAATAATGTAGATTTATAAAAAATTAGTTTCCATAGAGAGGTTTGTGTAGAATAAAGAATATTAGCAAGAAAAAAATATGTGGAAGAGATGTAAGATATGTGTATAATACTTTTTAGAAATTATATACATATATATATATATATTTGCCTATAATTATATGCTATTATAATTTTTATATGTATAAGTACCTTTATACTATCTTACACTAATCTTATATAGCTTTCAAGTATTTTTTTAAGTTGCTGAAAAATTAGATGTGTGTACGTGTCAAAATTGAGGTATAAGGTTATGATAAATCCTAAGTATAATGTTGTTCATTTCTTTATTAAAAATGAAATATACAACTATCTGGAAAGTCATGTCTATCTTGATAAAAAACTGTTTTATTAAATAGTTCAAGTAATTCGAATAATTACGATTTTCATGCAATCTTATTTATTTATTTGCAATCTTATTATTTTAGAAAATGAACATATAGAACAAAGCACACTGTTTAGTTAAAAGAGATCAATTTTAATACATAGATTTAGAGATCATAAATTTTATATTAAACACATACAACATTTCATCTTAATTTGACTACAATAAAGTCTGAATAATTCACACTTGTTATAATTATATTCATGTATGATGCAACACTTATGTGTGACTATGATACTGCCTATGTGAGCATCAGTCTGAATTTTGATCATATAAATCTTATTGTAAATACTAAATCATTTTCAATTATCAAATTACGAAAAAAATCGTTTAGTAATTTGTTCATGTCTGTCAATGTATATATTATTGTATATTGTAAAATTAGCTTTCATACATAGCTAAAAATGTGATGTAAATGCAAAATTAATAAAATCATGTCAGAAATTATGTTTATATTCCATTATGTGTGTGATTAGAGCTGCACATGAGAAGATTGAAACATGTAGCGCACATTTAAATCAAACTTTAATCTCGAGCTAGGATAATTCTATATCAGATTATTATAATTATGAGATTATAATACATACTCTCTTTTCCAGAAAGATACTATTTATTTTTTTTTACAATTTACTTGGTTTTTAATACCTACTTATAATATATCATGGACAACATTGTAACTTGTCACATTCATGTTATTATTTTATATTTCTGATCTTACGTCTAAGAATCTAAAATTATTGATTATAGTATAGCTATATTGAGTATTGGGAAAGGGGACAAATATATCTGTTATTATATCATATTTGTGTTGTATAAAGATATTAAACAATTTTAAATTATCCCATTCAGGTCAATAAAAACTTGTTTACATAGCCATTGAAGCAACAAATATATTTATATAAATATCTTAATATTATTTAATCTCGTTCAAAAACTGATGTTTTTCTGCAAAAAGTTTTATTTTCTGTCTTGGCTATTTTACTAGTATAAAAATCTAAAAAATGTTTAGATATATTAATATATATAAACGAATCTCTCCCGCTGTGTGTACAGCATTAAAATAATTTAATATGGATTCAATCTATATATATTTAAAAGATATACTCATAAAACACTTTCAAAAGTATACTGTCCAATATAAAGTGGATTATATACTGATATGCATATACATGTGATTCCATTACATTACAAAATATTTTCAATGGAACTAGAATAGCTATCTATATCTTTCAAGTATATCAAATTTTATTTTAATACTGCCAGTATTATAAAATGTATTATGGATGTTTTAATTACCATAGCTATGAATCACATTCATTTTATTTTGTTATAATCTGCATTATATAATTCGTTCTACATTCGTATTTTATTTGTTGAACTCCTTTTTTGGAAAATGTCACTCTAAATTATTTAAAGTTGATAAGTAATATTGAGATAGACATTACAAGTCCAAGTAACATAACAATTATATTTTGCACTTAGGAACAGCTAATCTTGATATAATATTGTGAGATAAGTCTCCTATAATCATCTAGACTTCCCAAATCTGTATAACTTTCATCTTGTTATATATCATTGCAGTAAGATTTCTCTTTTGATTACTTATTAACTTTACATTATATAGATAATTTTATAAGATAATAATACATCTTCATTTTGCTATTTTTTAGTTACTTGGATATTGTGATGTTTGCTATATATAAAAGTGTGTTAATAACTTTTTAATTATATCATCATGTATATTTAAGAAAAATAACACTAATATTTCTATATGAACGTATCACATATTGAAATGATTATACAGCTAAACGATTTGTTTTATGAGTATATTTACAATTGCAACATGAAAAGGAAATTAAACTCATATTTATTTTTATATTAATAATAAGTGGCACAAATTCTGAAATATATTAGATTCCATATCGTTTGTCCGCAAAGAATCGTAAATAAAATAGAAAAATTGAATACAGAGATATGTCATTGCTTATAGCTATAAGTAGTATATAAAATGTAAAAACAAATGCAACAATATACAAATTTAACATTATCTGCTTTGACCAAATGCATTTTGATACATTAAATGTACGAAATAATATATTAAAAAGCAAATAAGATAAAAAGTGTATAAAAACTGTGGTCAAGATAGAATTTATTTAAAGACATTATTAAGAGAATTATTTTCTTAAGAGAATTGTTACTTTGATCGTAAAGTTGCAATGGATTAATAACGCATGTCAATAGAATAAAGTAAATTATCAAAAGATAGAACATAAATCAAAAAGTCATTAGTAAATAATAATTGAATACTTTGGTATCATACAATACACATTTAAACCTACACGCGCTTAGTACTTTTATAAGAAATTAGGAATGTACTTTTCTATTTGTGCCATTACCCTTTTTACATGCATCACAAATATCCTGTACATAAATTGAATCTCTAAAATTTCATGTCTAAAAGGAGATATATAATAAAAAATAAATAAAAGTTGGATACGAGCAAAGTTATGTAATATACTAAGGTCGTGTAGCTAAATGTACATTGTCCTTTTATGCAACTGTACAAATATATACATACAGGTCTTTTCTTTTGTTATAGGTTTATACTTAAATTTTCAGTTGCTCATTTCATGCACATCTATCTATTAGCTATGAACTAGGTCTTAATAATGCAATTATCTTTGTTATAAAGATCCACATATATCTATGTTAAAATTGTATGCATACCGAGCAATTAAAATGTGTAATGAAAATGAAAATGTATATGAAAAGTATGTTTGTAAGCAACGTCATCCTTGGTTATTCGATCCAATTATTTAAAATTATCCAATGTATTTTTAAGAAAACATTATATAGATGTATCACAGGTACTGCTACCAGATAGGGCCATCTTTGAAAGACTAGAAAGACTTCGTCTGGGACTACTACCTCCGAGAAAGCTGCTGCTAGATTCCGAGAATATTTTTCGGAAGCTGTAAAATTAACACGTGTTACAAATAATAAGAAATGCATATGAGATGTTGAATACATACAATTTACGAATTCCGGATTCGGAGGATTTCTTCCAGGGTGCATCATCTGGTTCATAAGGAAGTGGTCCTTGCACAGGTGCATCTTTATCATCCTCTGGACTGTAAAATAACATAAAAATAATATAAATTTATTTTATGCAAAAAATCATTTTTTTTTGTGGCATATCTATATAATTTATACATATACAAACATTATAATTACATATATCATTCGAATAATATATCATATATATAATTATATGATATTTCCGCACAAATTTTATGTAATTATATAATTTTGTTATGTAATTTATGTAATTTAAGTTATGTAATATACTTTATATAAAATTGCTAACGTCTAACAACGTACATTTCAGGTTTTGGTCGGTACAATTCTAGTTCGTCCTCGAGATCTGAAACTCTTGCTTTCAATTCATTTCGTTCGTGCAAAATCTCTTTAAGCTCTGCAGTCGTAAATCTGGGTCTATCAGGATCGTCCAAGTCATAAATTGCTTTATTCGTTAAATCAGGACAGCCTTGTAATTTAGTTAAATCCTCGTTTTCTTTTTTAGCCATGCCAAGTCGGCCCCGGAGATTTATAAGTTCCCGGTTCTGATCCTGCAGCTGAGCTAAAAAGTCGGCCCTCTCCTCTACTAAACCTCGGGCTTGCATTTGCGCCTGTCGTTGTTTACGTTTTAGTTCCCGTCCAACTACAGTAAGCTTTTCTACCTGTGCAGTCAACTATACAATACAATAAAATTGAATGTCTATTCTCTTAGTAGCTTATAAAAATATATTGTAATGTTAAAACATGCAGAAACATAAATGCAAATTAAGAAAGACATAACTATTATGTAATTAGTATTAATTCTCAAGTACAGGCGTGCAGTTTCTCAGCAGACTAGGCCTTGTACATTTTAATGTGCAATAATTTTGTTAGCGATGAATTCCAATCAGTTTCTTTGTTTTTATTCTACCATTATCTATATTTACTGTGACAAACAATTCTTCTCAGTCATTGGTCAATTATCCTGGAGAGATAGTATATATCAACTTTCTATCAAGTTGCATGCCTATATTTGATAGTTAAAACGGAAAATTTAACGATAAAAAAATTTTTCTGTTTGTATACATATAATTAAGTTGTATACAGATATAAGTACCAATTTACATTTTCAATTTCTGCAGTCTTTTGCGATAATTCTCGATCTCTAGCGCGGATCTGATCTCTCTGCTTATCTATCATGGATCTTAAATGCTGCAGAACTGCTATATCAACTTCTTGACTAGGTGTGATAGCTAAAAATTAATACAGATAGTAATTTCATTCGTTTGTTAATATTTAATGAAATATTTTAAAAACCATTGGATTAGTAAAGAGTTAAATGGTGTTAGTACTTGTTTGTTTACTGCTGTACTGACTATCACTTGATTCTTGCAGAGCTTCAGCTAATCGTCTATTCTCTTCCTGTAATCTAGTAACCATGGCTACTAAGTCACGGGACTCCTGTCTCCAATGTTCTTCGATTTGCTCCAGTTCCTACAAAATCAAATAAATTTAAAATAATGAGGAACATATTGTACTATCAATCAAGAGTTCATGAATTATACAAATTATAGCAAAATTAATATTACAATGTGACATGTAATGAGTACCTTTTCAAATCGTTGTCTATCCTCAGCTTTGCCAATCTTGTCGCTCTCAAGCTGAGAGATCTTAGCGCTAAGCTCTTGTACCGTAGTATTTTCACGTTCATTCTTGATAGCAAGATTTTCAAGTAACTCTAAAGCATTGATTACCTTTGGCATAAGATTAGTCACTGACTGTGCTCCAAACAAATCTATAAGCTTTTCACATTCCTTTCCTATCTCTGACGCAATGTCATATACGTCGACCACTGACACGTCAGATGCAACAGAATATTCTTCCATTTTGCAAACTGCGTTACTTCTCAGACAAAAAGGCATGAATACAACTTTTGTCGCAGCGCGCTTTACGCATAAACCTGCTCAATGTTAGGAAAAAGGAAGTCTCATAGAGATCTTTCTGGTCAGAGAAATTTCACGTTTTTACAGATCGAAATCTTGGATTCAAACGTTTTTACGCTCGTGATCTTTACGGAATTGTGTACATATAGAATAAAATTACAAACATCACAGCCAACTACACGAAATCTTCATGCACGCACTAGAAGATATCGAGAAAGAAGGCTTCTTCTTAGAATATACTTTGGATGAATAATACGCTTGGAGTTTATGATAATAAATTGCGTAATTTAGGTGTGGCGTTAATTGTCAAAATAACAGCTTGCTCCGCAATCGTGCGGTGAACGTTTGCATCGTGCACTCGTCGTTTTTAAATTGAACACCAGCTCGGAAAGTACGACATGTTCCGATGGGTGATATCATAACAAAATTCTATTCAGAACGTCATGTTTAAATTCCGGTCGCATACATGGGAGGCGCGGAGCAGATGATTGAGATTATTCACGGTCTATACGTCATACGTGTGTGCGTGCACGATGACAAATTCATCGAGTTCACGACGACGAGAGGAACGCCTTCTCTCGGAATATCGCGAAATGTTAGAAACGAGGAAAATCGTTTCTCCTAAGATGCATTCAAAAATCCTACCCTTAGAGTAGAATAGAGGTCCTCTATGTTTTTATTATAAATATTGAAAATAAATAATTTCTTTATCAGGCTATAATGTAACAAAATATTGGTATATGAACAAACTGGAAGCGGTAAAACTTATTCTATGGACATCAACTGTATAACAACGAGAGAGAGAGGTGTGTAATACCAAAAAAGTTATCCATGATATATATATATTCGGAAAAATTAAACCAAAGGAAGACTGGAATTTTAAAATAGCTGTGTCATTCATGGAGTTATTAGTATGATCTGTTATCTGATAAGCAGAATTTTTCCATCTTATTCCTTGATATCTACAATGGACTGACTTTTTTGCTTCATATATAGAGTACTGTATGATCTATATATTTTATCTGATAAGCAGAAAACCACCCATTGTAAATATTAGAAAATAAAACGGAAAAATTCCTTGCCATGATCTGACAGCTCTATTAGAGGGTAAAATAGCATTTAATTGATCAATCAGGATAAATGGAACAAAGAATTCTGTGTCCTGATTGGTCAATTAAATGCTACTTTATTTCACAGGATTTTCGAACGCACTCTTATTGATATTTTCATAATTTCACTCTATTGCACAACGATACGCAAAATTGAATCACGGCAAACTTTTCTGAGAGGTCTCGTATATTTGATTTTTTTACACATACATCACAAACACGCAGCTACGATAAATGAGAAACAAGAATAGACTATATCTTTGCTTTGGTAAAAGAATTTTTATTTTCATTGTTGTATATTGTGTGAATAAGTGAAAAGCAATAATCGATATGATCCCGAGAAAAAATGGTCATAAGATCATATATAGTCACGGCTACCGATATAGTTGTAAATTATATAGTTGTTTTGTAAATATCATCGCTGGGCACGTATTTTGATAATCAAAAAACATGCGCAATGATATTTATTGCAGAGCCTACAGCTATTGATAACCGTGTATAGAAGAGCGCCCATAATTATATCCGAAAATTGGCGTGATTATATACGCGCATAATAATTGCGTCATAATTTCGGATATATAATTATATATGGCCATATACATGATATATAATCACATAAGTCCATTTTTTCTCGGGATACAATAAAATAATAATATGGCGTATTAAAAAAAAAGTATATATTTTTTCTCAAATCGGAAAAATTGATATTTAAAGTAAAACTTAATTAAAAATTTATGATAAGATTTAAAATAAACTGTCCAAGAGAACACTTTATGTATAAGAGCCTTTGATCTACAAGAATTGGTAACCATAGGAATTTATTCTGTTGGATCGTTAAATGTATTTGATATTCCGAATAATTCTACAAGAGAAAATATTATAAGATTACTGTGTGTTTCAGAGAGAAATAGCAAAAATATGAGCGAAAAGGATATCACGATTTCGATAATTCGAATGGAAAAACTTTTGGCGGGAATTTCTAGCAAGTTAGAAAAATCGGTAATGTTATTTTACATAGCACTATGTGTGTGTGGAATTTATATCTTATTTAAATAGATAAATTTTATTGCTCTCTTTAAAAGTATCTATTTTGTCGATGATTTTCTGTTTGAAAAAGTATTTTATTTTATATAAACATGTTTTAATTGTTTAAATTTAAATGATCTTGTCTTTTGTCATATTATCATTATTTAATAGATTGAAAAACGTGGTATTGAAACTTCGCCGTTGCTTCAAGAAATCTTTGATCTCATTGAGCTTTTCAAAAAATTTGTTAAATCTCGAATGAAAAGGACTATTCAAGTAGAACGTATGCATGTTATCAATTTACACGAATGCCGAACAAAAATAGCGGAAACCTTATCAGAACTTGAAGGTAAAATATATATATTCTCTTTTTTATAATAAAATAATATATTCTTAATTATTTAGAGCACAAATTAAATTACATATCAATTGACAGTTTTGCAGAAAATATCTGACGAACAAAACTCGAATTTCGAAATTTTTCTAAGAGATATCGTTGTCTGTGTAAACGACGAGGAAGAAATAATGAAAAGCATCCGAAAAACATCAGAAGTAGAAATACCAAGAGAAATGTATTAAAATATTCATTATTATTTAAATAAAAATTATATTTGTTTAATGCATATAATTTTACACCATTTTTTTATAAATAATTTTATAATACATAGCTTTATTATTTTTAGGGAGGAATCAATGCAAAAAATGTTAACTGTAGCAGAACAAGAAGAAACGCGAAAAAAGTTATTGGAATCTAAAATAGATTCGGCAAAACGCAGATTACACGGCGTTATGGAATTCAATGCGGTAACCGAAAAGAAATTTTTCGATGTATGGTAAATACAGTGCGATTTCTAAAAATCACATATGATTCAATATTTATCATTTGATTAATAGATTACAAATTTTAGCGCGAAAGTTGAGCAGAAATACATAGATCTTCTCGCTAAATATGATCGCGATATCGGCGCGTTCCATGCTTTGATGGAGGAATTGTCGAAGGACAAGGAAGTTATTAAAGTAGAAACGAAAAATATGGAGGTACATACTATGATCTCAAGTGCTTAATGTGTGCAATTTTACCAAATATTGATATGATTTTCTTTACAGGATCAATTGAGCGTACAACGAATGTTATATACTCGATTTAAAAAGGAACGAGAAATCGCGCTAATGATAGCCTTTACCAAGAAACTGGATTTCTTTACACGAAGTCGTGCCGCTAAGATCATTCAAAAAGCATGGAGAGCATATTACGAGCGTATTTCTCTAAGAAAACGAAGGAAAACGAGGAGAAAATAATAAACTTTATTAACTAATCTGCTTTATATATCTTGGTACGTATTTATTTCACCCTTACTTTATGTATCAAATTCGGTTTGGTAGTATGAATGAAAAAATAATATTCTTAATTACGAGTACACAGCACGGAAAATAATACTTTTTCATCAAGATTTCATTCATTTTTCAAATCAAATACACAATCTATCGTTGCAGTGATAAGAATTAAACGGAAGAATATAATAATTGACATTAATAATTTGCTATTTTTTTTATTCACTTAGTTGACAAAGCATAGCCGCTCCCCGTATGATCCAATGCTCGGGCGGCTTAATTGTAGGCAACCATATGGCTATGACGAAATTTGTGGAGTGACCCGTGGTGGACAGCACTCCGCGCCGTTCACTGGTTTTATAGAGCGGACAGGTATATGATCGCCTTTCCTCGATATCCTGCTTCTTCATCGGTATCAGCCACAGCTGTAAAAATAATATCACAAAAAGGTAAGCTTCAAATTCTCACACGATTGAATAAAAATTTAAATTTTGTCTCTAAAACGTGTGTTCCAATAAAGCTATTGAGAAAAAACTAGAACACATTCTCTATTATGCAATTCTTTGCATTTCTTTCAATCTTAATTAAATCTTTAAAAAAATGTTTATATACCTTTTGTTTGGAGGAATGAAACTACTTACAAAAGGTACGTTGTCGTGAAGCACTTTGGGGAAACTCTCTTCTATGTTCATTTTTTCCATATCGAATCTTGCGCCATCCAAAAATAATCCATAAATGTAAACGCCGTTCTCGGGCGCAGATGTGAAGACGGTTTCTTTAAGGACTACAAAGTCAAATGCGAGAAGATCTATGGGAATCCGATATTTTCGCGCGTAATTTTGTCGTATCCCGGTCAAAAATGCTTGCGTGAAATAAAATCCTGCTAACCAAAATGTGACGGGTGGTCCTTCGTCGTACCATTTCTGCATAATAATAAATTTACATGGAAATGAATGTTTCGAGTCCAAAAGAGTAAAACATTGAATATAATATATAGATATTTACCTGTAAAAATGTTAAACGATGTAGAAAATCACTGATATAACTGCCGAGAGGTTTTAAGGATGGGTAAGAATTTTGTTTCCACAAAAGGGGTATCTTGCTTATTAAAATTGCCTCGTAAATGTCTTCAAGCTCGAAAGACATTGCGATTATACCTAAATGCAAAGTATTGTGTATCAAAAATTAATTAAATAAAAATAAATAAATTAAATTAAATAAAAATAAATAAATTAAATTAAATAAAAATAAATTAATTAAATTATAATATAAGTTTTTGATATATTTAATATTAATTGCAACATAAAACTTCTCGGATACATCATATGGTTATTTATTATTTTTATTTTTTTACTTGAAGCTCGGAATCAAAACTTGTGAGAAATGATTACTTTCTTGCCTGTTTTTATTTTATTTTATTTTATTTTTTTAAATTGTGATTTGCGTTAATAATAGGCAATCGGTTTCGCGTAAGTTTTTTTTTAAGAATTAATAATTGAATACCTTTGATAGCTTTTCGTACATTGATAAGGCTATTTCTGATGCAACGTAATAAGTTATTGAATCTGTCCATTTCTTGCACCAGTACAGTATTCATGCTTTCGCTGTATAATGTAGGATATTTTACGAGTGCTGCAATAAGATCGTAATCGTCTGGAAGTTTGTCTAAAATTTCTGTTGCAACGTCGTAAACTATCTCATCGTCAGACGCTTGTCTCAAACCAGGTTTGATAGCTTCCTAAGAAAAAGAATAATAGAATATTTTTTATTATTTTTATTTAAATTAGACTGGTTCCTTTTTTAGACTTCCATTCTAGACTGCATTCTGGAAGAGAGTTTATCTATAATAGCAAATCATTATTTTGAAAGAATTTGCAAACGGAACATACCTCTCTCTTAATTTTCCAAAGATCCTACAGATGCGAATGGCAAATAAAAAATATTACATAAAATCCACTAATAATAATTAATTAAGATTTCATTGTTTTTATGATAACATCATGATTACGTACCGTTCGGTCCTAATAATGTTGGATGAAATTAAGAAAAAAATAGATGAATATGATGAGATGTATAATTATCGTTATTGTTTAAATGAAAATTTACCTGAGTAAGCAGCAATGAAGTGAATAATAAGTCTGTCTCTCGTTGATCTTTAAGAATATCGGCATTTTCATTCATGCCGAATACACTTGGCTCAGTAATTATCGGAAGTTTTCTCGTGTAGTTGAGATACGCATCATATTCTCTGACAATCGGGCAGTAGTAAATAGTGGACGATTCATCGAAGTAGTATATTTCATCGGCTAACACCTCTCTACATATGTAATGATAAATAATATAAATAATAATCTCTTTATGAATAAATATAAAATTATATAATTCACTGATACTCACGGACAATAAAACTTTGCCAGGATTGTGTTTAACGTTCTGCGATCCCATTCGTCCGTAACTCTTCCTCCATAGTTGCATTCGCCCGTGAGATATTTCAAAGCGTCGAACTGCACATCTGCGTAATCATCCAGGAACATCTTCAATTGTAGAACGCTAATCCTCAGATCGGTTTCATTAAATTCATAGGGGATGTTCCAACCGATCGGGCCGAACTTGCGTCTCTCTTGCACAAAAGCGTGGAAAAAGCACAACGAGTACAGGAGCTTCTTGAAATACTCGCTCTGAATGCAACCTTCGAAGAATTCGGAACTGCTGATCGGATCACTCGCGTAAGATCTCAAGATGTTGGGCCTGAGTCCCTTGGGCGGCTCGTTCGTTATCTTGATGCCATTCTGGAGGACCGAGATGGGAAAATGTTCCGCCGGATAACTGGTAAGCCACAGCCGGAAATCAGGGTGAATCGTGTCGGGTATCAGACCCTCGCAGATCTTCTCGAGTGTCGGCATCCAGCTCTTGGCCAAGTGACAATTTTGCAATACTACCCAGTTGCCGTGTAGAACGCCGTCCTTTATCAAACCTTCCGCTATAGGTCCTTGACCTGGTGAATAATAGCGCTATCAATTTTTATAGGAAATCTCTCTATGCGAATATTTACCTTGGCCGAGAGACAAGTAGAAGAGACGCTTAGCACCGTAGCCTTGCTCGTCGGCAAATGTCAACAAGGCTTGCGCCGGATCGGCGCCGGGTGTCAAGACAAATATCAATGGAATACAACAGTTGGAATCCGCGAAGGAGGATACCAAATCGAAAGGTGGTGCTTCCGCATATTGCGCGCCTAATTCTTCTATAATATTCAAAGACGATCGATATTCATCAAAAAATATTTCGATTAATACTCGTATAACTTGTGTTTCTTACCTTCAACAAGTATTTGTACAGCCGATATAATTTTATCAGGTCGGATACATCGTAGAATTAATAATCGTTCGAATAAGTTTATATTTTTGTATGGTGACGGATAAGGTTGTTTCTGCGGTTCTCTCGAATCGAATATCTCTTTCCATTCGCTGATGGCATTGGAGAACGATTCTCTGATGCCCTATAAAATTAAAATGTGCATTCTCTACGAATATCGATTATGCGAGCGCGCAAGCAGCAATTTACTTCGAATCCTTTGATATTATCCAGTCTGCATAGCTGATCCCATTGTTTAACAGGCAGCCATTCTGCGGGATTTACATATGGATTTTCTAAACCTATTCCACCGGTTAGCAGAAATAACCATTGACTCGCGGTTTCCGGTACATCGCTCATTCCGCACAGATTGATAACGAGGAGCAGCGCGAAAAGTAGCTTATCTTTTTCAAACAATGATCTACAGATATTGACATAAAGGAAATATGTAAAGTATTTTGTCAGATCTTTCAGACGTTGCTCAACAGTGTCGGCTGGTTCCGTATTAGTGATAGCCATATTGTAAAGATTTACAAACCAGACCAACGAATATTGGTACATTGGATCTATATTGGCTAAAGATGCTGCAAAGAAAAAGAATTACTTGATTAAAATTTGATTAAGAAAAATTTCATTCTTTTTCTTTGTATTATTTTTTATTTTCAACGAGTATTACGATACCTATTGTGAAGAATAATATGGTCGAATAGGCTGCAATAGGTTGATATTGAAGCCTCGCGGTGTCGATCAATTTCTCTGTGACCTCCGTGGCCGCTTGTTTCACTTGGATATCATCGCTTAAATTTTTGGACACCATTAGAATGTCGATAGCTTCCTCGTCCTCTAATATGTTACCTTTTGCCATAGAAAGTACTTCCAAGATTTTATCTTCCGTCTCCTTCAACATTCTATGTAAAATAAAATTATAAGTAAGAATAGAATATAAAACACTGGATGCTATATAATGAGATTAACAATGTACCTTTTGTTTTCAGCACCCTGCACGATCAAAATATTCTTCTCTGATTCCAAGTCGGGTCTTTCCCTCGCGACCACGATACCAAGCAACTGATCTTCTAAGCCACTCGGTGTTATCATAAAATTCAGCAGAGTTACTCTCACAGCTATTTCCGGCAGATAATGAGGATTTCTTAATTTTGTTGTAATGTAGAGCCTGTCTCAATATTATAATATTATTATACATATATTTTATACATAAGGCACGAACAAATTTTATCTCGTGTTTTATGATGATATTTTCAATATCTTAAGCTAAAATATCGAATATATTTTATATATGTATAAAATTAGAGTGTACCTAAAATTAGTATTATATTCTACTATGGCATCGCCCAATTTTATGCATAATGCACCAGCTTGCTTGAATGTCTGTTTGAGAAGTATCGGCTCGAGAACGGCATCTAATTCTTCTTCCACGTTCTCCAATAGTACCGGCTGTCCAAATTGTATCGCGTTTTCCAAGATCCTTATATAATCGTGCTGGCTCAGCCGAATAATGCTTATATTATTATTTTTCTCCAAGTTTCTTATCCATTTATTAGCTTGGCTTTGCGGATCTATCATTAGCGGCCATCTTCTGGCATTCCTAAAAATGTAGGATTATATAATGCAGGTTTATTTCATAATTTCGAAATTATAATTATAAATTATAATTTTATAATCGACTTACATAACGATGATTCCGTTGTCAACGGAAAACACATCGGCGGGTAATCCGGCGATGTTCCAGGATCTGATCAGAACCGGATCGCCGAGTATCTCGCGTAGCTGGAAATCGTGGCTGCAAATCATTTGTAAATCTGTACACAACTGTACCCATTCGCTTATCTGCTGCACGCGAAACGGCATAGTGAACGGACCTAAATAAGCCACTACGCCGGAAGCAATTATTACATCGCCCGTTAGCCGATGGTATCTACAAGAAAGTAGAAAAAATGTTAGATCGAATGAATATATTTTATGCAATAATAAAAAGATAGTGTTTCAGGTTCATCTTACTTGTCGCCCAATTGTTTGGCAGTTTGGAACCAACGTGCATATTCTCCGCCCAATCCTCCGATAAGGTCCTCGGCTCGTTTCAGTTTCGTCTCGCAATCCGCTACTTGATCCGACATAATTTGAAACTCTATCTTTTTCTTGTTTAAGGTCTCTTCAAGATGCAATAATTTTTCCTAATAGAATTTTACAAAGATTTTAATACAAGATTTATAAATATATTTTTAATATTATTTTCTTATAGAAATTAAATTTTATAAACCACTTGATATCAAAAGTTTCACTGAAAAATTAATTTCAGACGATAATTTTATACCTGCACTTGGCGCAATTGCTCTCTCTTTAAATTTAGCTTTTCTATAGCATTGTGATAGGCAGCTTCAGCTTTTGCCAAAGCTTGTCTTTTAGGAGCGATGATCTTAGCGATTATATCGTACTCGGACATTGCGATGACCCAACGGCACAATCCTTCGCAAGCCGTCGAGACCTTCTTTATCTTCTCCGGATCGAAGTCTGGATTAGTTAGGTATTCATTTCGTATCGTTTCTATCACTTTATCCGGTATGTTGTCCTTATCAAAATTAAGCAGCGAGTCCAAAAATTTAGCGTCGCTCAGCATTCTTAAGGCAGCCTTCCAGTAATCATCGACGTACGTGCCCTCCTTCGTGTGAATTCTCTCTGGCTTTATTTGCTACAATAATTTGTTTAAATTTTAACAAATATGTTTGGATTATAATTATAGATTTTTTCGCAAATGATATAATACGTGCTATTTTTCATCATGTACCTTGAGAACACAAACGCTCTCCACAATGAGCTTCACACCGTATGGTGGACGTTTCATTGCTTTCACCACTGCAATATCTGTCGTTGTTAACGTGTCTAACGCTGCTTGAGCGCGATTTAAAATAGGCATGGCTGCAGCCAAATCAGCATCGCACTCGGTTTTTATCACAGCTGCTTCGTCCGCTACTACCTGATACAATATTTTTTTATTATATTCAGAAATATAATTATCTTATTTGCTTGGATTTTTATATATTATTGATGTTTATTTTAATGTTAATAATATATATATATTTTTTTTTTAAATCGCGGTTAAACATTCTTACTTGTGCCGCGGCTTCGTCGACTTTGACAACTTTCTCAAATTCCGCCACTTCTTGATTCTCTTTCTCGACATCGGCTAGCATTTTCTGAATATCCTGCGTGGCTGTGATTAATTTCGGTTGCAATTGCTTCAATGTATTTTGCATATCTGTCACTTGTTGTTGCGTGCTATCCAATTGTCCTAATCCGCCTTCGTATCGAGCTTTACCGTGCAGCACTTCTCTGCAACGTTATAGAAAATTAATTATGGGAAAATTTTTGAAGCTGAAATAAGAGTTATATTTACCCGCGTTTTTTGTCAAGCAAACTTTGAAAAGTGTTGATCATTTCGAGATAAGAGGTAGGTGTCACATAATTGCGTCTATTTAAACGAAATAAGAATTCTTCGCTTAATTTTTCAGTGGACACGTGGAAAAATTGACACATGTCAATACCGGCTTTTCTTTCATGATCAGTGAGTTCGGTCGTTGATAAAAATTTCGTCGCAACAGCCAGTAGAGCATCTTCAGGCCATGGCTTGAGTGTCAATCAAAATCAACGATGTAATATAGCATTGTATTAAATAATAAATGTCTGATGACTTTAGAGCATTTTAATACCTGAAGCCAATCTATGGTGCAACAGTTAACTAAAGCCGGGAATTTCCTGATCCGATTTCTGAAAGCGTCGCCGATAGGAGACATAGTGACAATAATATGTAGCTGATCGCGGCATATTTGCACAAATAAATTAAAAAGCGCTGCAGGACTACCATCCGTTTGTAACGATCGTTCTCTCTGTTGATCAATCTTTTTCATTTTTTCACATATTTCAGCCTTCTCGTCAGCCGCATATATATTGGGCACCTGAGAGAAAATAAAAAATTATAAAATTTTCTGCGATTTTTGATAACAAACAGGGAAAAGTAGATAAAGCGGAAGGTGCGACGTGGAAAGAAAACAATAACTTGTCATATTTATTTACTTCTCCAGAATTAAGCATATTGCTGATATCCTCCAAGAAGTTCTCCTCCTTAATCTGCGTGTCGCTGAAGAGGAAAGCCGAGTGCAACTCGGTGGCAGTGGCTTTTTTTAGAATAGTTTTGATATCCTCGTGCCATTCATGCAGACCGTATTGTTGCGTAAGCTCGACCTGAAACACGTCGTAATCGCAAATATGCGATGCCAGCCTGGTTAGAGATTGCCTTCCGGATCCGCCAACTCCGACGAGAAGAGCGTGGCTTCGCGGTTGCTTGATAATACGAGCTATCCTTGACAGATGCTCGATGGCAAACCTTTATATTTATCCTGAATTTAGCACACAAGACAAGTCAATTATTTAGCAAAAATATAAAACAGAGATTTACCGAAACAATACCAAGTTCATAGGCTTCTTGGTCATTGAATTATATTCGGAAAGATACGTTTCCACGATCTCTCGCAATTGTTCTAGGTCACTGACTTCTTGATACAAGCGTATATCCGCCTTGGCATCAATAAAATCACAATATACTAAATTTCGTAATTCGTTTACAGTGATCTGCAAAAATTTATGATGCAAAAGCATAACTTTTTTTTTTATCAATAAAGAAATTTATGATGATCTTACCCTTGTAATATATTGTTCTTTTTTAGGCAATAAATCTTCGAAGAGTTCCTCCATTGGAACTTCCATACGTTTTTTTAGTGTCACATCGATTTGCTGTATCAGCCAATTGATATCAATTTCATCGACTAAACGATCGCCAAACACTCGAAGTATCTCGTGAACCCATAATCGTTTCATATTTGAGAGCGCGGGCATGGTTTCCGGGACCGATAGAAGAACTCCCTATATATAATTATAATTGCAACAATTAACACAAAATTTTTCTTAAAAGTAATTAATACAGATGTTTAAATAACCTGGATTACTCTGGAGAAATCTCGAAGATTAAACATGTAATGGCATTTTGCAGGTATTGGTAGCAGAAAGGACAAGCTTTTTTTATAAATGTCTAATGTTGCAAGAACAATTTGATCAATACACGGATCAAATTCTTTGCTGAAACCCCTATAATAACACGAATAAATTTAAAATGTATTTTCTTTGGATATTAAATACTTTTCTTTTTAATTTACAGACCTCGTATCAAGATGCCACAGAACGATTCTGCTGAATATCGTAATCATAACGTCATCCTCGAATTCGGATATCGTCAGAACAAAAAAGTGCCGTTTGAATCGCGGCGTGACATCTTTCCCGGTAAATGGTGGAGCCATGGCGCACATTAATTGAATCTCGATCAATTTTATTAACGTCCCTTCTTTTCTGTCATACCTACAGGTAGGTAACAAATTATATGGATATCACTTACAAATTAAAATTAATATAATGTTTAAGTAATGTGTGTGTTCATAAGTATATGTATATATAATATCTTAATCGCACAATTATTTACCGTTACATAAATTAAAGTCATAAATTAATACCGTTATATAAATTAAATCATATACATAAATTGAAATATTTTACCACTGCCAATGATCCAACCATTGTCGTAGTAACTCTATAGGCGGTTGCGCTCCGAATGTTTCTTTCAACGGCATCGAGACGTCGTCGACAAATATGATCCAGCGTTTTCCTATCGGAGGACCGTACACACCCTTACGTCTACGATCTAGCTTGCTCATAATAATATCCTGCGTCTGATTAGCAGTAGTCTGCGCGGAGAAATTGATCAATAACGGTTTATTCACCGCAGCGTTATTTTTCTTCAATAGAAAGTCGATTATATACACAGACTTTCCGGTCCCTGTCGGACCCACAAAGAGCACTGGCTTTTCGTGTTGGACCAACATTTGAAAGAGCGCCGTGAATCGTATCGTTTCTATCGTCGGTACGATTATCTGATTGACTGGGATATCACGGGGAATCGACGGCGCGGATATTAATTCGTCTGACCATAGTTTCCACTTTCCTTTACCCTGAAATAATGCAATTTTAGCTGAATATAATAAAGGAGTATAATAAAAACGCTTTGCAAAAAAATAAAGAATTAGATGCGATGCAAGGAAAATTTAAACATTTCTTTTTTATTCGGGTGTTAAAATTAAATAAATACATTTTTATAAATACATTTTATTCACCTCTTTAATAAATCTGTAGTCAAATACCAGATGATGCTTCGGCATGACGAAGATATAAGGTTTCAAAGGCGGTGGAATCGGTTCTTGTAACTGAAATTGATTCATCAGGAAAATTGGAAATTCTTTTTCTAGAAGCCCGCGAAATAAAATGCTAAATTGTTCCCTGTATTTGGCTTCTAACGTGCCTCCCATCGCCCAAATGCACGAAAAGAAAAACGAACCCTATATATACATAAATATTTAAAGTTAAATCTCTATTGTCACTTGCAAATAATATTTTATCAATTATTTAACTATTGAACTTTTCAACCTCTATCTGCGCTCGCAAATCAAGCTCGCTTAGATTCTTTACGACTTCTTCGTTATAATAATCATCCATGAAGCAATCCATGAGATAAGTAATGGATCGTAAAAGATTCGAATCTGGCATTGGACATATTTCCTACGGATCAGTCAAGTAAAAATGAAATTTTTATTGCGGCATTTTTATCAATTCTCGCTTTATAACGAGAAATCTACCTTTACGTTAGATCGGCGTAATAAGTGAAAGAGGGGTTTGCAAAATCTGACGACTAATGATTCGTATATGAAGGTCCGCAACCATTCGTCTATGACTTCCGGTAATGCCGCTATCCAAGAATTTAATAAAGGCTCCCATCCCAACGCTCCAGGTTCCATATAAATCATGCCTGTTTCGAGTAATACATTGATCTTTTAGTTTCAAATATCTTGTGCTCATATGTTATATTATTATAAGATTCCATTTACCACAACGAGATACCGTGGCCGGTGAAGCGGCTTCTAAATCCAATGGCTCGAATATCAAGTTAGTCGTCGGCGCTAACTGAATGATCTCCCCGCTCATCAGGCACAGTTTCTTGTTGTCATCGAGAACAGTGTTCATACTCTCGATCCATATCGCGTCTATCGGGCCGTCGAAGACTAGCCACTTTCGATTATCGTTCGGCGAGGTCGCAAAAGCCCGATAGCTAATAGCCAGAATGCCGTCGTTCCATTCATGAGACGCCGGATCGAATTGTCCGTACAACTGTCCCAGTGTTATCGACTTCGGATTAATCACCGTTATCTCTACCTTGTGTTCATTCATCAGGTTCTATACAAAATTAATTGAATTTGATTGATTAAATCATTATATGTATATAATTTTGTTTCTTTGATGTTCACGCAGGCGCTTACATTCTCCTCGCAAATTTCGAGGGCATCGGCTAACATTTTGTATGCCGTGGTCTTGCCGGCGAAGGGATACCCAACGATCATAAATCCATGTCTGACCAACATCATTTCGTACATCTGCTGAATTTTTTCTAAAAATACCGGGACACATTGAATGTTTGCGGCAGCACATGCTTGATACGCAGACGCATTTAAATGCACATAGTCTGGCTCTGGAAGTTGCACGTTTGGAAAAAGATCCGAGGTAATACCCTAAGACGACATAATTTTTATGTTTTTTTTTTTTACTTGCGTTTATATAAGTATATATACATACGTGAAATAGGGGTATATCTTCGCTGAGAAACTTGGGCAAATTCACATCTTTGATACTACGTAGGATTAAGATGTCCTCGTTTTCCTTCGGATATTTCAATTTCAAATTTCCTGCCGCAATTAAGACAGACTTTACCGCTCGCATCCCGTAATCGTAATGATTCTGACTGGATAGTTGTTCTGAGCATAATTTATAAGCCATAACTATCTTTACAGATAAAGGTCTTGCATCGTAAAATCCATATGAATATAGCGTGTTCTCCGCTATTAACGCATAATCCGGTACCTAAAATCAAACGGTAAAATATAACATAAACTCACAGAAAATGCAGCAGTATTTTTGATATCTCACCATCATGGCTACTGGTCGAAACAAGGCCTTGAGATTGTCCGGTAATTCTGTTCTGCCGGCGTATCCCGGATTCATCGTAATAAATACCGCGCAGGTACGATCGAGTTTTAATTCCGTCTCCTCGAATATTAGAGTCTTCTTTTCCGCATGTATAGCACGCTGAATAGTTAAGATTTGTTGTGCCACAACCGACAGGACCTCCAAGTCGATGCGATTAAATTCGTCGAAACAAGACCACGCACCTGTGCTAGCCAATCCCTAATAATATAACATTATTTAAAATAAGAAAACTTGTTCATCTTTTTTTTTAATACTTTACATATTATTTTTCTGAATTTTAATTTTTTTCTAATTAATTGTAGTTGTAATTAAATCTTTTCAGTTTGTGTACTTTGAAAAATTTGCCTAGGGCGATGTAGTCCAGCCCCTCTGAACAATTGAATACAACGCATTGCTTGGCGACTGCCTTTGCTAAATCTTTAGTAGTCTCTGTTTTTCCTGTCCCTGCAGGTCCTTCTGGTGCACCGCCAAGATGAAGGCTAAGCGCGCCGAAGAGTGTGCGATAGCATCGATCGGTGAGTGGTGTTATCACCAATCGTGACGTATTGCCCAGGTATTCGTATGCATACATCAGTTTAGAATTTATCATCATCGTGTGCAAGTTTTCATCCTGTACGGGGAAGAAATAAAAATTTTGATATGAATATTGATAGAATGTCAATGTGTGTGACAGATATTTGCATATTGTAAAAAATTAAGGAAGAGGGGTGTTATACGTTTGAATCTACTTACTATCCAGTAATATCTCAGTTGGCAAAGCCATTTAAAATCCGCAACTTGATTCACACCTTGCTCGCATAATTGCATCAATACGTCGCGACTGTGAACGTCTAGCGTCACTAAAGCTTCTGTATATAAGAAAAAAATAATTTTTTTTTTTTTTTTTTTTTTTTCAAATGTAACTAATTTTATAGAAAGAAACTTGCGGACAACTTTTTTTTTTTTTTTTTTTTTGAGCAAATGTAACTAATCTTATATTTTTTAAATTATTGTTTAGAATGGAATTTCAACCTAGAGTCGTTCGATTCTGCGTTGATAATCTACCGCGAACAAGCTTAACGATTTCATTAAGCTCGTATGTACACGTTTCTACATAATCTCTTAAACTTTCGAGGCTCTGTGGAATCTTGTCGCTAACATCTGCCGTCCAGTATAGTTTGCTGACACAAAGAATGGTCTGACCCGGCCATTCCAAGACCCATTGACTCCTAGCTTTAGTCGGAAAAGCATTTTTAGCGCGTATCACCTGAAGAAGCAGATTGGCGTATCAAAGATAATAATTTGTATCGATATATAAAAACTTTGTTTCTGCATTTCGATTAACCTGAGCTTTTACGCTTTTCTTCATATCAGTCTCGAGTTCGAGGAGCCACTTTTCCACTTGTCCTCGTGCAGCGGCCGTATCGATTACGTCTTCAAGAACAATCTCCTCCCCTTCAGATGATATCATTGCCGTGGCCTCCATAATATAGGTAAAACTCAATTTTTCAATGCCTTCGAAGCACTTTTTCAGATGCGGCTGTACTCTACGATGACAATTAAATAAATAACTGCAAATGACAATGACTGGTTTAACAAATCATACCGCGTGGGATCCTTGGTTTCGGACAATATTTCCAAGAGTTCGTCGTTAGAAAGGAAGAAGAATCGCGGGAAGAAAAGCCTTTTCTTCTCTAGATAAGCGGCGAGTCCTTTTTGCACCAATTCAAGCAGGTTGGTACATTTTTTCAAACGATCTAGCATTTTGTCGATATCGACGACGATCATAACTGCTGGATTAGCCGCAACGATTGTCATAATTTCCCTCCAAATCTATCTTACGTGTACGTTCAATTTTATTTTATTTATTTTCAATTTTAAATTGTTTAATGTATATATATATATGCTATAAAATAATTTAGTTTAATTACAAACTTTGTCTACGGCACTAAATCGCCGACTCTCCTCCGGCATCTGTTGCTGTATATCAGGTGATGTGAAAATCGGTTCAAGATACATCCATGTCGCTTGAACTTTTAGCCAATAATCCATGATATCTTGCAGTAAGAGTAACTTGTTTTCCCATCCCCTGATGGCATAAACGTTTTTACAAATTTTGTTTGACAGTCAAGGATTTATCACAAAATTGATAAAAAAATTGAAACAAAATTTTTTAATAAAATTATTGAAATTTTTTTAAGAAACCTACAGAGTTTCTTTTTCGAACGGCTTTATATAAAGAGAATTTTTCATAGTCTGGGTTTTCGTCAGGTGATCGTCGAGTAATTGCTGTATCTCATCCACACTGGCAATGACATATGTGCCGGTATCGCGATAAGGATTAACAGTGAACGCAATATCTGCCCAGTCAGAGTACATTTTGAATAAGGCTCTCTCCAGATTACCCTCTTTAGTGGCTGCCTCGGATATTGCCTCGAATTTCGCTACGTAATCGCCTAATCCATAATCGAGAATCTACGGATGTATATAAATAATATAATAACTATCTTATACATTTATTGACAGATTCGTCAGATTTGCGTTTAACCTTGGCCAACGTCATGTATTCATCGACTTTTATCGGAAATCCAACAATTTCCGAGACTTGCTCCCAATGACGACTCTTCAGGGAAGGATTACCGAGGGTTAATATCACTGGCATGTGCTCCTTGAAATCCTCGATTCTCATTCTCACTATCTCTGCCAGTTTCCTCACTATAGGTTCTTGAAAGGCTTTCTCCAGCTTGTATACCGTACGATACGCGATACCGGTTTCGTTTTCGATTATTTCAGGATCGTAAGAACCTATCATAGCTTCCGTCCACATTTCGTAGTTTGTCAAGAATTCGCAGGCAATGTCGTAGAATTTTTTGTAGGGTGTCAATTTATCGGCTATCTACATAGTATAAAAGCGAGGGACACAGTATAAAAGAAAGGATGCAAAACCAGCATGTGGAAAAATTTTTAACATTCTGTAGAAAAACGTTTCTCGTAAGTATGTGTAACAGTTTATATAATTTGTATTTTTAATAATACTGGATTACAAAACAAACTCGAAACATATAACTAAATCACAAGATAAAATTAAATTGCATTATACCTTCTTCCTCAAGGGATACTGTGATATATCCCAGCCGAATAATTTCTCCTCATCGTTGAATTCGGCAATTATATCCATGGCAGCGATCAATTTGTTATCAAGACTCATAGCTTTTTTTTTGTATCTTTGTATCTCCTCGATGTTACCCCAATATTGCAATTCGTTGCAATGTTTCTCATAAATTTGAAGATCCTGCTCAAATTTGTCGATTCTAGCTTTGAGTGTTGCCTGGTACTCGCCTGTTTTACTCGCGACTATTTTTCGATGCTTTTCGAAAATTTCAGGCATTTTGTGATACCTGATATATCAAAATGTCAACACGCGCGATTGTAATACAAAACTGATATATATTATTTCAACAACTTCTTCACACTCTCCATAATTAAATCTCAAATGCAATTCATTGTTTTATTCTACGTTTAATAAAGCGTATTTTTTTGTTGTAAATTAAATTACTAAAATTGCACTCACCATAGGAAAGCAAAATTATTGCTCTTTAACTCGACTGGCGTTAAATGATGATAATCCGACAAAAATATTATGTATTTCATTACTTCTCTCAATCGAGTCTCTAATTCAAAAACGGTGTCTGTTTCAGATTTATGTATAAAAGCCTGCAGTTTCATGAGTTCTGATGTATTGGGTGGTATACTTAATGCCTGGTCCGAAATATTTTGATAAACATCTCCTATACTAGTAATTAGGTAAGATTATTATCATGTTTTATATAAAATTATATTTATACGTTAAAAATCTATGAAAGACATACGCTCGAACTTTTTGCTGATAATCGGCAACCATTCTTGAAACTAATTCGTCCTTTAGATGAGCAGCTGTAGAAGCAATATGTTCTATAATATAATGCCTGCGAACTTCAAAAAGATCAGTAAAAGACGTCCAATAAAATTCTAGCCGTATATTCTTGCTCAGTTGATCGTAATAATCAATGAGTTCGCAATATTTCTCGTATGGATTAGGTGGTTGCGCTTTTAGAAAATCCTGAATGTGTTGTACATCTTTGCCGTTTATTAAACTCATATATTTGTCAAATTCGCGTAATTGTAATTCCGGATCAATTCTGTATTGTTGAATTAAGTTTGATATAGTATTTACGTGCTGCTCAAGAAGGTCTGAAGAAATTATTGGCTACGGAAACACGTGGAAGTTTAATGATCACAATATTATAACATAATTTTTTTAATCAATTTTAATCATAATAATTATAATTATAATTTCTTATAATAGTGTTTTGTTGAATTATTATATATATAATATTTAAGCAACTTAATATATTGTATAAAATACCTTGAGTAGTTCAGGCGCATCAGTATCAGGATAAACCCACTCCAGTTTTATCTCCGCACGTGGTAACGTAGTTACAGCGTCGTAAAAAGAGTTCAACAACATTGAAAGCACATTTACGAATGCATTGAATGTGGGATCGAAAGTGATAGACGTATTCTTTACCACAACGTCTATGTTAAAGCCACAATTTGTATACTGTTCGAGCAATAATTGTATTCAATGCGAATCTCGACCGAAATGTTGGAAATATTTACAAGTTTTAATCGAGAATGTCTACTCACACCCACGTCAGTAAGATAGTCGATATAGTCCTCCATCGAACGTAAGCACAAATCTCGCAATTGATCTTCCATGACATAGGCAAGACAATTAAAGAATTTATTATATCGCGGATCGTGCGCCGATGGTAAATTTCCCTTTTTTGAAACCTGAATATAAAGATATTTTAATTAAATAATTAAAAATGCACGGTAAAATTTATATTAATGCAAAATAGCTTTTCCTATTTCTATTTTATAATTACTAAAAAATTGTGTTTCTTACCGTAAGTAAAATGTTGCAAATTTTTGGCAACCATTGTTTGAGAAGATTGTCGCTTGTACTTCTAAGTATTGTCATGAATTTGTGTTCAAATGTCGAAAGATCGTACGGTTGTCTATACGATGCCAGTTCTCTTTTGTCTACTTGCTTGATTTTTCTACAATTAGTGGAAAAAATCGTAATTATATTAAATTAAAAATAATGTATATAATTAGTATTATACAATGATACAATGCACAATTCACTAACCCGTATTCGCGATACCAATAATCCAAAGTTTTACGAATGCACAAATGATACAGAATAATCGATCTTTTTTCTAATTTCATCCTTATTTTTTGGTACTTAACGCCTTGTTCCGGCTCGGAGAATGGCTCGGCGATTCTTCGGGAGAACAACGGCTGGAACATGCACGACGTTGTTCCGTGAAACATAAACGCAAATAATTTGGAAGCCAAAATCGTATGTAGCATAAAAAACTAATTACTCTTTTGTGTTTTTTTTTTTATTAAATTGTGTTATTGACACAAAAGCGGTTACGTAATTATGTTTTCTATGCAACGCATTAAGCTTTAAATTTTATATAATTGTACATAAATAATATTTTATTTTTTTAAAGAAATGCTAGCCGGAATCATATTATTATCTTATTGCATTATTATCGTTATGCACGTAATAATACTAACCGGTGCACAGATACTATGCGTCTCTTCGAATGGTTCCTGTAGCACAAAGTCAACGACAGCTTTTTTCATGCTTGTAACGTAGTCGCTTTTTAATTCCCGAATCAATTGCTCGAAACACTCGCTGTGTCTCTCCTGCCATTCAGTGGTCACCATGCTTGTTATCTTCTTTAACGTGTCAGAATCTAAGGTGCCTGCGTGAACATCATCGACCTCATGAAGAATGTAGTAATAATACCTCAAGAGATTTTTGTCTTCCTCCGTGAGCCAATAGTGAACATCAATATCGCTGCTCGAAGTTGCCGCTGTTTCCCCGCAAACATCATCATCATCATCCAAAACCGTTTCTTTTTTTGCTACACAATCATCGCATATTTTTCGGCTTTTTTCCGGCCCTTTGATCTTTCTGATGAGATGCATCCGAAATTCAGCTCTCTGCTGGCATAGCGATGTATAATAATCGTCTTTTTGGGGTGCGATTTCTTTTTTTTCCTTTTTCTTTGACGCTGTGATACTCCTTCAAGTTTATTTAATTTTCTTTTTAAAATTAGAAAAGAATATATACGATATAATCAAATATTGAAATTTAAAAATTGCATCTTGTGATGATAGCTTGTCGTACTTTATAAATCGTTGATTGTTTACCTTGATAAAGTCTCGCACTCTTGTGGCAAGTCTGGGACACTTGGTTTATCTATAATATATTTTTTCAAATAATCGAAAGTTTTTTGATGCGTATATTTTTGTAAAAGCTTTGGGCAATATGTATCGGAACTGGATTTCATCCAATCGCAATGTTTTTTACGAGATTTTCTGACGTGCGGCTCTTCGAACACGTCGCTTCGCTTCATTGATTTCATGCATGGTTCCGAATATTTATGGATATCGATTTCTTTATCGTTTTTATCTTGTTCCGTAGCTTTTTCTGTTCTTTGGATTCCGTTCTTCTCTTGTATGCAATGCGACATCTCCATCGCGTAATCAAGTTACGTCTCCTATCACAATCTTTATGCTAATTTGAAAATATTACACACGAGCGTAATTTGAATATAAAGATATAAAGTAATTTTTATATTAAATTGCACATATATAGAGTTACTTTAAATCTCCCTTCACATGTCATAATTGTTATAACTTACCGTTTTTAAAGTTTAGAGTCTCAATTGGTTTAACCGAAAAATATATAATAATGCATAACTCTCGTATTACAAAAACTTGTTTCTAATTATTTCATGTTTATCTCATCAAGCTTTTCTAAATTGTTTTACTTCGTACCAAATCACTTTATAGAGGAATACGCTATGCAGTATGCAGCACGAAACACGAAACTGCCTTGAAACCTATAGTTTACGTTACCATAGCAATCACTCTGACATTAAACGTATGTTATGTCAATCATGTAGATAAGCACATTATATTTCAGTTACTTTAACTTTTATGAATTATAATTATGCAATACATTGGTAATGTAAGAAATAATTAGAAACCAGCATTTATGCACAAGCGAAAATATAATATTTATTTTAAAAAATAATAAGGGAACAAGGATTAAGGAATACATGCAATAAAAATTAACAGAATTTCTTTCAAAGTAAATATTTATTGTGTATTTATATATGTGACATCGCTTTCAGAATAATACTTTCACAAGTATGGTGTAAGTCTGTCAACGATACGTGTATATGTCTCTGATAGTTGGATACCCGTCAATAGCAGCTGCTGTGTTTAATTTGCAGTTTCGCGATACGAAAGATATATGAAGATAACATTACAGCGCAATATATTTCTCTTTTATATATATATATATATATATCTCAAGTACTTTTCAGTAACGCAAAATACAAAGTTTGTCGCGATATTAAATTGTATACATCTGTATTTATACATATAATATTTCACGACAATTCTACGTCCATATGCGTTTGATTGTCACTCGTCTCAGATATACATAATACACTGTTGACCCCTCTATACATCTAAATAGGCAACGTGAAGAGAGTATTTCTTCGCATAATTTCTTTTTCTCTTTGTTTCCAGAAATATGCGAACGAGAACATTCAGCAAATTATCATCAGGGACAGCCTACTGCTAAAATGGGCTTGTGTACACATGTATGTATGTATGTGTATATATATATATATATATATATATATATATATGTATATGTGTGCGCGAAATTAAAATATGTTTGGACCTCGCAACCTCCTAGCATGCCTCTTGCACACTATGAATGTAAATTCAGATATGCACATAGAGATGAACGATTAAGAGGGAAAGGCAAAGGCGCCCGAACGAACATTTGGTGACTCGTGCGCTTTTTTTGTTAATTTCGCCAGCGAAATGGTATGTAGGCGCATACATGCTCCCAGCAATGGCAATTCATAGCCAAAACCGCATGGATATATTGATTTTCTTTCCGGCACCCTTTCGGTGTCCCGTCGACGTTTCAACGTTGAGATACAGTCATCGTTTATACCAAACATACGCGATAGTAGTAGTGCACGTTACATAGAAGCCGAGAACCACGCGACCCGTGCAATTTGTGCTGACCCTCTTTCAATGCGCAAAAAAAATTTGCATACCAGGATACTCTAAAAAAGACATAGCCTTGATATCTTATATTGTCACATAAATTTTGTCATACAATTCTATTTCTCATATAGATGCGAATTTGCATAATTCTTATTAAGAAAAATTTAATTTTAAATTTTATTCCGAATATCCGTTATTATATCGCGTTCTTTTCAGAATATCCTGTGTAACGATGACTGTACAATTAAATCTCTAACGACTTATACAATGTTGATTAACACAGGTACATTCAATGTGAGTACGGATAACACACAGCGCTTTTAAAATGTCGATTATTGAAATTCATTCTCGTAACCGATTAATTCCTCTATTATATATAATGTGATTTTTAACCGAATAATCTCTTTGACGATTTTACAGATTTAGGAAGAATAAAATAAATACAACGACACCGCTCATCTGCATTCAATCTGATAATGGCATATACGTTGTTGATAGTCCCATACCAACGGTATCGACCCGTTTCCCTTGTGCCTAACAAGCGATATCAGTAACAGCGCTGCTATTGCTTATCTTCAACTATATTCTCTTTGTAAATTTCAAGTCAAAACTAATATTGACCAAATTATGGAATATGCCGTATGCTCGATTAATCTTCTTGTTTGACAACCTATGACATATAAACATGTAAAGTATACAGCGTTTAATACACAAATTTTCTAGCTATATTCACATGCATTATTGCTGTGTTTGGTGTCTTCAAACTTAAACAGATGCAACCAGTTAAATATCTCTTAGTCAGCTGAATTAATTAAAAATTGCGTCGTACTTTTCAGATATATTGAAATCATAAATCAATAAATCAAAATATGTATAACGTGGGCGATGTAATTTTTTAGACATTGAAAGATCAAGATTATTTATCCCATAAACTTTGAAAGATGATGCAATACACTTCTATATATCTCGTCTCTTTTTAACTGTCCACACATATTCTATGTCATTTATAAATTCCAATGTTAAATTCTTCAACTTTTTTATTTAATATAAAACTAGAGCTTATATACACATATCACATAACTAGTGTAAAGAAAAATTTAAATGTTTGAAAGATTAATATTGAATAACTGAAATATGACACATTTCTTTTTGTATATATGTATATGAAATTTTTTTTTTTTTATATACGTTTAATCAAAGTAAATTTAATATTGCGAAGAATGTGTGCGAGAAAGGAACTATATCAGTCACATGATATTACCGCCAGGATATTCATTTGAAATACTTGTAGAATTGAAAGGCATAATAATTAAGATGACATATATTTCGAACGAAATAAGAGACCAACTATTGCCATGTTCAATCAAACTGCTCGACAAGACGTTGCAGTTTGCTCCAAAATGAAGCGCGAGTCGCTTTCAATTAATTACACAATTACTTCTTCCATTGAACACTAATGTAGATTTTCTCGCATTCGATTGCACAGCAGCCGAAGCAACAGATTTAACCCTTATCTTTCTCACGCGACATTAGAAAGATTAATTCGGGCATATGTCGACGCAACGTCGAATTTGTACGCTCTAACATAGTTCTCGTGTTCATGCACGATTAATGCTTAAACGACGGTATCCTATCAGCCATCGAGATTTAGAAAGTCTCTTATAATTCTTTTTTTTTTTATAGATAGATATGTGACAGATGTCTTCAGTTGTGGCCTGTGTATGAAAGACGCGCAATGCGCGAAAGATCTGAATTGACAGTGGAAAGAACTTAATCCTAGTTTTGTTAATTTGCATCAATTGCAAGCCCGTACTGCGGAACGGGAAATCCGGAGGTCATCGAACGGTTAAGGTCGTGTGAAGCGATACCGGTACGGAGTCCAGGCGAACAGTTCTAAAGGAAAAGAATAACATATGCATTGTGTATGCATCGCTCTCTTGCCACATCCTCTAATGTTCTTAGCATGCAAGAGTGGTGCCGACACAAAGATCATTGCTACATCACGTCCATTTCTTACGCCACAGATTCGGGATGCACAATTAGCATGCACTCTGAAAACGGTCAACTCGCTTACATTCGAAAATGAAGCATTTTTCTCTTCATTACCATTTTATAATTTATCTAACAATAAGCATAAATAATAACTCGACCGATGCAGAAGCTGCGATATTTTTTATGTTTCTTTTTCAGTTTTTTTTATGTTCTTGTTTGCTATTTTTTATTAATTCAATTAGATTAAAAAAACCAAGGATACCAAGAAGAATAAATCTGCAAGATGTATGATGATATTTTTGGTCCACGAATTGATTCGAGTGAATTTTATTATAGTTTAACCGACTTCTGTTCATTTCTTGCTTTAAAATGTTTAAGAGAGATAAAGAATTAATTAAATTATGATAAAATTTGTCTCAGTCTCGTTGATACTGTCAGTCTTTGATTGAAAAATGAGAGTGAGAAACTCAGCCATAAGTGATATTCTGGATTAAGAATGTCCAAAATATATATAAGTTTTTACATTTAACTGTGGTAATAAATCCTCTCTAATAAATCTCTAATTATTTTCAGACGATCTATTATACAAGCTACCGTTTCCAGTTGCGTTTATTGCTCGTTGATGAAACATGCCGGATTGCTATGGATTTGTTGACTGGTTTGTGAACAAGTCCGGATGTGAATAAAGTCTAAATATTATTTGATGAATTGATAGTTGAATGATAGTCACACAATCTTGCATAAAAAATGCGTGTCACGCAACTTTGCGACAAGATCTCTTTGGCGAACGCTTCTGATGATGACTCTGTGCTGTGTAAGTATTTATATACATCGTGGTATCGAAATGTAAATGTGTGTGAATGTTGAATGGTTTATCGAGGAGTTTGATTAATAACGAACGGTTCGACGGCTATCGTTTCAGATGAGAAATAATGCCCAACACGGTTGTAAAAACTTCGCTAGTCGAAGGCGAAGCGATAAAAACAATCATTCACAAGCACCGGCTCTCAAAATTGATCGGACAATCGATCGACGTGGTCGACTCGTTCTCGGTCTGCATCTGTAGATGGTATGGTGGGAGGATGTCTGCAATCTAATTGAATGGTGAAGCGATATGAACGATGTAAACGCACTATGCAAAACTACTTGTTTGTAAAGGAGAGTTTGTAGCGTGTTGCGGCGCGTACACTACGTGTGGAATCGCTCTACGATTTACCATGATTGGTGAAGCACGGGCAAAGGGCATTCAGAATACGATTGCAGAATCCACGCGCTCGGTTGTTCCAGCCAGCGATGGTATCGCCACCCTTCAATCTACTGCCTGTACACACACACACGCGCATACGTATAGTCAGCATGTTATAAATATCAATCTTGAAAGATAATTATAATTGTGCGTCGTTCTACTTTGTAAGTAGCTCTACACAGAGAGTGTTTTACCCAACTTGATGATCTGAAATATCTCTGTTGTTTTTATTGATGATAGGAGAAAATTTATAAGAAATGTAAGAAAAAAATTATTTAACAAATATTACGACCAATAAATTCTTTTTTGGTCGAAATCACTTTTTTCGTGAGTTAAAGATTATCGATATAATATTAATATTATAGATTTAATAAACATTTTGTAACTGATGATAAAAGCTGAATAGCTTATGATGTATCGATTTCTTATATATGATTATTTTGATATTTTTTTAAATATAATTTATTCTTTATATATTTTTGCGTCTCATCCATGCAACAACAGAAATATTACATGAATGTGAACATATTTCTACTCACCGATTGAAATTTGCATTTATTTAGTCAATTACGTTTATTTCACTATCTCTATTCTTCTATATATTTATTAATATCTATAAATTTTTTTCATTATTTTTACGCGTCTATCTAGCAATCTAATAATCTACGCGCTTATCAAACCATCTCTTCTTGTTTGCTTTTTGCCTACCTTCTCTTCTTGAGTATAATATTTACCGCCTTCTTTTTCCTTCGTTATATCCGACGCGAGTCAATCAAGAATATTTCAGCCTCGTAAAAATGAGATATTTGAGTTTCATGAACGAATCGAATATATTGAAGATCAATTTTTACTTACCTTCGCCTGTATCAGCTCCCTGAAACACAAAGAGCAACTATTGTAGGCCCAATCTTCGCGCGCGATATATTTTGATAGTAGTAGCTGGCCGCGTTAATGGCGCGTTTGCCTTTCGGTTTATGCACTTGTGCTATGAAACTTTTCTATTTTAATATAGCTCGCGAGTTCGCACATTACCTCCGACTGAGCTTTTCTTTTCGAGGCTTCTGTAGCGGCGGTCTCTATCACTTCGCTAATAAATTTCGTCGTTTCCCTCATGAGCTCCTCGTCTTCCTTAAAAGCCTCTTTCCTCTGATCCAATGTCCCCGTCATCAGGTTTTTCTCGTGTTCATCCATGTTGCTAGTATGGAATGGTACGGTGGACGTCTGATCGGTCATCAAGTATCATCAACGACGACGGTTTTCGTCTCTAGCCCTTTACAATTAAAATTATACTTTCGGTCAAAGAATCATGCGCGAATTGATAACGGAGTTTTTAAATTTAAGTAACGTCACAAATATTTAATTACCTTATCAAAAATTCACATAATGCAATATACTCTAGAAAATTATTTAATATACAATAAGGGCTCGCGAGAGATGCATGCGCTGTGTATGACCTAGAATGATACGAATGTACTCGGTAATTTTAGACTGAATTATCTCTTTTTTTTTCTCTCTCTGTGGTCACCGGCTTGATATTAATTTGTCAAGATTCCCGCAATCGACCCTTCACGCATTCGAGTCCTTCGCGCGTATATTATCGGTGATGGACGGCAAAAACGAGGCTTGGAACCGGGGTATAATTTCGGTGCTTTCGGATTTCGATTCAGGCACATAAAGATGTGAACAATCAAATCACGTTTTTATTTTAAAATAAAAATAAATTGCGCGCTCATTATATGATTCTTTAAGGCAAGATAAATTCTTACAGAGCTTTTCTTTTATTGTTAATATATGCTAATATATAAAATAATAACAGTTTTTTTTTATGTATTACGGTTCATGAATTTTTCATATATTTATGCTGTAAAGTGTTATATATTTAATCCGCATTTCCGTCGCAATATCCGCGTCGATCAAACCCACCGAGAGATTACACCGGTCTCAATCTCGACGTCAGTCTATTTCTCAAGAATATCGCGAGATGAGAACGATTCCGATTGCTGAATGTAACAATGTAACACGTAATTGCAGGCACCAACGTAAATACAACGACCACGACGATGACGGATATATGCCACAGGTGGTGTGTATTGTTTCATCACGCACACACGTACACTGATACCGAACAGTCATCTCTACGTACACGCGCGTGTATCCCGGGGATGCCGACGATGACGTGGTCACCAATGTCCAAGGCCGGCGTTGCAGTCAAGGCCGACTGCCGTTTAATCGCTGATAAAAATGCCTGGACCTGGCCACTGAGCTATCCCGAGCCAAGCCGGTCGAGCCTCTGACCCTGGATCCAATAAATTCCTCCTCGCTTTACGGACATGAATCTGCTTCGACAAGGCGATGTCTTCAGTATTCAAGACGCCAAGAAACAAACCGATGAAAACTTGGACGATGAAAGGGGAAAGAACCCCTCATCTTTTTGCTCAGCAGCGTCTTCGACGGGTCGCACTCCGCCAGGTAATGATCGACGTAAAGCAGGCACTATCAGACGAAGCTCTTTTACCCGACTGGATATCACCCCAGCCAGACCCTGAAACGGAGCATGCGTCGGGGGCATGTAGAGAGAGAGTGTTATTAGGTTTTTATATCTGTGCTTCTCTATATACTCTCTTATCTATGTGGGCGAATATATATACACGTGCATGCACCGACCCACGCATGTATACATGCAAATATAGATATATGCATACATTCGTATTTACTGTCATTTTTTATCTCATAGATTTAGACACAGCTATCTTTATCAATCCAAACTAGAATAAAAAGCAGGTTTTGACTATACATGTATAATGTGCAGATACTGATCATCATTTACTTGACAGATTTTGAAAAATGAATGGATTCGAGAAACAATCTATGGGAATTTATCTTATAACGCTGCAAATTCTTAATCTACGGAAAAGAATGGAGTTTCGCAATTTTCAATTTTTTTTTTGTGTGGAAATATATGGATAGGTATTTATGTAAATTTATCGCAAATATATATGAAGAATTGTAAAAATTAACTCTGTTCATTGACTTTTATTTTACATAATGCGTATCGTATGACAAATGTGTTTTTATTATATATTCAATTATTAATTATATTATTTCTTAATATAGTATATAATATGTTTGGAAATTTTTTTCTTTTGAGAGTGAACAGTCAAAGAAATACTCGTAGGATTGCATTAAAGTTTAAAAATGCATGAAATATTTGTTGATTCTGGACCTGTTGAAATAGCCGGATGCTTGTGTATCTCTGTATCACTGTGACATATGAATTACGTATCAACATTATTAATAGATGCAAATATTTTTATTATATTCTACACACAATTCTTCATATAAGGCATAAAGTCTATAAAATCTGTATGACGTCTCAATGTGAGTTGCAGTAATATTTTTTACGCATTCCGTTTGGTTACATAATTAAAAACATGGTGTGCGTATATATGTGTGTGTCAACGTATATTTTGTAATTGGTATCAACTGGTCGCAATTAATGACACGTACAGAACCGAGTGTTGGTTTCTTGAAAGAGAGATAAGCAATCGCGTCGTCGTTTCATGCCAATTACATGATGATTTCTTTCTCTTCAATGAATTACACAGAATGATCGAAATTGACGTTTTTTTGGAATCGAATCAGACTTATAATTAAGATATATTTGAATGGAAAGTGTATACGTCTCGGTGCACTTTGAATATGCTTCGGCTTAAGTGAGAAGGACGGTTCGGGAAGACATTGCTAAATATAGCACGGACGCGCTTAATAACAAAAAGGATCAATATAAATGCACGTTAAATAATTTTTTCCCTGAACAACTTGTCGCTCGATTACGGCTAATATGCATTTTTTCTTGTTTTGCGTTTGTTTACATACATACGAAGACATATGTTCTAATATATGTACAATATATGTATTACATATTGTATTACAAGGTGTATTACATATGCATCTTATTAATATGTACGATACACACGTGTTGTTTACCTGCCTCGTGTTCAAAGCGAAAGCGTTTCTAAAAAAAATATCCATATAATAATAGAATAATATCTATATAATATATATAGTAATAGCTTTGCTTCAAGACTAATTTTTTCCTTCCAACTTTAATTTCTAATAATATATATCACTAATTATATTTTCGTTATAAAATTATTATTATAATTTGATATTATTCTGAACATTAGGCAGATTTCAGGAATACGAAATTAACATTTCTTACTACAATCTGTGTTATATTGTCTTTAAATAAAAAGACAAAGATTCACTTTTTATCCAAAGGTTATGCAGAGAGAACGTGCGAAAGAATAAAAAGTGTAGAAAATAAAAGGACAAATCTGTTATAATTTTCAAAATTATAATCTGTGCATATCTTAATCTATCAAATTCACACATCTTTTTCATTTATCAATGTGAGAGTTTCAAGCATCTCGTTAGCATTTTCGGCATCGATACGCGATATGCGCGCGCGGCTATCGCGGCGGCGCGATTGCTCCGAAAACAGCCGCCTTTAATTAGTCAGTCTGCTGCTGCACGCTAAGAAATGTCCTTGCAAGAGTGCGTTCAGAAATCCCACTCGCGGGTTAGAGTAGCTTTTAACTGATCAATCAGAACAAAGAAATCTTTGCTCTTTTCGCTCTTGATTGGTCAATTGGTCAACGCTACGTTAGGTTAAGATTTTCGAACGCATCATGAAGAGATCGATTTAAAGATGGCCGCACCGCGGTCGTCCGATCGTCGTGTCGCGTCAATCTGAGACGCATCTCTCAGGGATCGTAGAGCCGAGCATTCGAGTCAAGTCGAGCTGAGTGACGCCCGATCAACGTCAGCAACGACAGCACAATTAACAGAGGGTTCGTTCGGCACAGTCGTGAGAGTGGCTGATTCTTTCGTCGAACGATTTTATAAGAAAAAGGATCAACAACTGATTTATATATATATATATTAAACAATATAAGAAACATTTTCTCAATAATTTTTCTTTTGTCATAAACCAGAGGTTCCGTATCTAATATGTTGGTCACCTCATGTCGCGATAACATTTGTCGAGTGTGGACAGAAACGATACCGCCCGATATTGAAGGTTTAGCTAATATGAGTCAATTTGAAGGCTCTGATAGACATGGTCATCATGGCAAACATCGTCATCATAATATGCACAAACATCGATTTATGCAACGGCTGAAACATATGAAGTATATGAGAAACATATTTTATTCATATAGAAATATATTTATCGTGAAATAAAATAATGATAATACATAAAATATTCTGTTTATAGAACATGTTTTCATATTCGGCGACATGCTAAACAGCAACATCAGGCTGGTCATACAGCGCCTACTTTACCAACACTTCCATCTACTTATTCTGTACATGATTTTCATAATAATTATCAAACTTCTGGTCATTATCCAGGAATGCATTTCCACTTGGCAGCCAGTATCAACGCAGAAACTGGTATAGTATTGATGTTTATTATGTATCATATAAAATAGCGTAGAAATTTTTTTTTTTTCTGTTTTATATTATATATACAATATTTAATGAAATATTACACAATTCTTATTACAATTGCAATCATTACTCTTATTTATTATTAATTAATATGATTATTAATTAATATTACAATTTAATATTACATTAATATTTTTGTATAATATTGTTTTGAATATTATTGAAATATTGGTAATCGTCAGTGGATAGTATACGTTCATGTTATAGATATACCGCTAGTACCAAGCCTAATTACCGGAGATCCCGAAAGAGAACCGAATTTTATTTTACATTGGCTAAATAACAAAGAAATGCACTTCACCATGCAAGCCGAAAATATATTGCAGGAATTAACCCGTAAAGTAGTGGAAAAAGAGGAAGGCTTACAGCATCAAGAACATGCTGAACACGTAGAACATGAGTCTGAAGATGAATGTACCCCAAGTATGCATTGAATTTACTCTGTATGTTGTCGAAAAAATGCAATTGCCATTAATAATAACAATGTTCTTTTCAGAAAAGGGAATTCGCCTGCAAACGGTTCAGAAGCCAGCTGTTGGTGCCCGATCAATGAGTCAAGAAGATCACAGTAGTGATGAACATCATACTACGCATACTACTTCATCTCATCACAGTTTGGCGCACAGTGTGCACTCTCATCCAAGTCTCAGGTAACTTTTCAAAATCTCTTTTCTCGCGCGTAATCACGCGAACATGAATTGTCATCAGATACTGAGCGGCGCCTGCAATGCGGGCGATCGCTGTTACGCCGTTGGCTCCGTCGAGGGAATCTCCTTCACCGTGAGTCTACTTTAGTGACAGCCATCGATGCATGTCTCGCGATTAGCTTAGGCCTCTTCGCGGTCGATGTCGTATGGTATTTCGTAAGCGATCGAAAAATATGACGAAAAATACGTACTCTCGCGTTATGGAAGTCAGCTGATCAAATGACACTTTGATTAGGTGTATGAAGACACAGGAGATGTCTCCGTCTGTGTCTCCTTCGAATTGACGATTTCCTTCGATGGAACGTCATATATTTGTCATGCTCTATATATGATATATCTCTGTTTTATATATTCTCAATTGACATATTGTGAATTTCGTTGTCGATCTTTCTTGTTTTGCAATTACTTGTTAAAATTTTATTGAGAATTTGACTTTTTGTCAACGAAAACACTGATGATGTGCTATATTGCAAGGCAAAATCAAGATTTGATATGATGAAAGTATGACAATGTACGAAAATAGTTTGCAAAAACATAGAAAATTGAAAATTGTCTAATTTTATTCTAAGTTTAAATTAAATACGATCTATTTATTTGACTTAGGCATACGCAGCTGGTTGCAATATTGTGATCTTGGCCAACAATTTTGAACGAGTCCAAATAATTCCTGGAGCTGTACACAATTATATTAGAATCAGTTGTTTGGACTGTAGTACAGATACAGGAAAAATTGCTGCAGCATATGAGAATCAAGTGTGCATTTTTGAGCCGACACCGCTTATACACAGCACTTGTTCACATGTTTGTATTAATATATCTTTCTGTTGTACATTTAAATATGTGTTTATATAAATGTAAGGAGAGATGTTTAAAATACTTTTATCAATTTTTTTTTTTTATAGCAATTAGAATATAGATGGGTTCAAACAGGAAGTCTGCAAACAGAATCGAATATTACCTCTTTATCATGGAATTTAGAAGGAACAAGATTATTGACAGGTGGCGAACTGTTACAGTTATGGCATCAAAACATCATGCCATTTCAAGAAGAACACAGTAAGTTTATTTTCTTATTGATTATTTCTTTCAATATAATGAACATTATAAAAAAATTTTGTATAATTATGAAAAATAATCTACAATTTATGTTAAAAAAGAAATGTTAGTATATTCTATAATAAAAGTCTGATTTAATTTGCATGACATATATGTATAACCAAAAAGATAGATATTTTCATCTCTTCTAAATATTTTTAAATATTTGAATTATTGTGTTATTTGATACAGCAATATTGCCTATAACTACAAAGCCGAAAACATTACAAACAGAAGAAGTCAGTACAACTGGAAACAATCATAATGTTATGGCAAATACTTCTCAGGATCGTGAGTTCATTCTTTTTGAGAATGAACATACAGTGTTGGCATGTTAACATATCATAGCTTTTTTCTGCCATTGCACTGCATCAGTATTTTTTTATGAAAATTAGTCATTTGCATGTTTAATTGAAATGAGAATTAGAGAATTGAAACAAATGCATTTTGCCAAGAAACATGACCAGAATTACTTTTGCGCTATAATTGTCAAAATAGGAGCTTTTGTAACTGATGCTACATTACAATTGGAATCTTAATTTTGTTATATATATATATTTTTTTTTTTTGTCATATATATATATTTTATTATATATATAATAGTTGCAAACATAGACAAGGACCAATGTGCTTTAATTAAAATGCTAATATATTCGATCTTTATGCTTGCCATTTTTAACACTTTAATTTATACACATTTTGCTGTTGCAGAATATGCATATACTATTATTCTAAAACACATTAGATAATATAATTTCATAAAAATGGATAATAAAATATAATTTAATGTAATTCAAAAACATTTTATTTTTATATTTCTTATATTATTAAAATATTAAACACACTATAAATGTTAAGCTTTCTTATCTACATTCCAGATATGTGCATCTTGTGACGAGAAACAACTTTAGTATACATTAATACATATATTTACTTTTTAACAGCTGGCGCGGTGACATTCTCAATTGGAGGAGAAGCTGAGAGTCCTGGGCCTGGGGACACATTGTCTGCGAATGATCCAGGCGGATGGAATTGTGTATGGAAATGTCGTACTGCTACACCAGTTCATCTTATGAGTTTTAGTCCTGATGGTACTTTATTCGCAACAACGGGAATGAATGATAGATTGGTGAAAATATGGTTCGAAAATAAGCAATGTATGTATTTATATTGAATAATGATGAACGGATAATGATCTTGCTATATTTATAAGTGGTTATTATTAGAGCTTGTTTTTTGCTTCTAGTTTTTCCCGCAAAAAGCGTGGATCATACAAATTTTTCTCAGTCCATGGGCAGTGACAATTTTAGTTTTGTTTATGTTGCGCATCCACGGGCTGTAACACACCTCTCTTGGCGCAAGACAAGTAAATATATGCCAAAGTAAGTAACATATGAAACTTTTCGATGCTTTTGCGATGGTGGAATCGAATGAAAAGCCGCGATATGACGCAGTAAAACATTCTATTTTTTAAAATATTGTATTATTTATCTGTAGGAAATAGGCAGAAATATGTTTATTGCATTCTAGAGTAAATTAAAATGTATTATTTACTTCAAGTTGTGTGTGTGTGTGTGTGTGGCTAAAAAATTACTAAAATGTTAACCTTTTATAAGAAAAAGGATCAACAACTGATTTATATATATATATATTAAACAATATAAGAAACATTTTCTCAATAATTTTTCTTTTGTCATAAACCAGAGGTTCCGTATCTAATATGTTGGTCACCTCATGTCGCGAATTTTATTTACTTATAAAAAAAATAATTTATATTTATTTATATATAAAATTTTTAACATGTTGCAATTTTCTGTTACAGCAATACAACCTCCATTAATTCGATAGCGACAGATGCAACATCCACTATGAATCACGCGCCAGATTCATTAGATACAAAAATAGAAACATTGCTACGCGATTGGCATCATAATCCAGATCTGCTGTTCTCGATACATCCGATAGACGGGAGCTTTTTGATTTGGCATATTGAATGGTTGGATGAGTATCATCCTGGATCTTTTCGACAGGCGCAAATTTCTTTTTCCACTCGTATTCCGAACGCATTCCCGCTCGGTGACGCATCAACAATGAGCCACAATGTATCGATGTATTCTCACAATACTGGTGGACCGTTATTAAATATCCGCGAGGTCGCAAAATCGTCGACAAAACCAAGCGAGCCTAGCGAAGTTGCGACGCCCTTACCTAGCCTCATAGAACAAGACGAGGAGCAATCCACTTTAACCTCGAAAGCGGGTCAAGAGTTATTGAAAAATATAGAAACTACGGACGATCAGAATCAAACAAAAGCCGAAACTAATGCGCTGGAGAGTAATAAAAATGGGCACGAAGCAGATTTATTGGCCCATCCTAGTCCGATTGTTTCCATGGTGTCGAAGCACTCGAACGGTACTTTGAATTTATGGCAGTTGACGTTTGCGGATAAAACAAAATTTTCGCAAGTGTTAAGCATAGGACACGCATGTAGAGCTTCCGGACACCGCTTTCGTGTAAACGACATCACGTGCCATCCCGTCTTACCTTTGCTTGTGACAACTTCTCATCATAATATACCCGAATTTTCTGGTACACAATCGGCGGAATCTAATGAAAACATTAGTGGTAAGCACGACACCTCCAAGAATAAGGACATCATGTCGCCTACCGGCTTTTGCAGCGAACTAATATTATGGCGAGTAGATGCCGTGGGGCCCTTGTCGAAAAGCGGTGGAGTTTCCGAATTAGCGCGTATCAATTCACCCGAGATATCTGCATTCAGTAATGTAGCTTGGATACCGACACTATTGCCGAGTACGACGCTGGGTAATTTATCCAATTCTCCCAGTGCGTGTTTTGTGGCCAGCGACGGAGAATGCCTGAGAGTCTATCAGGCTGTCATCGATGCCAGAACATTACTGGCGGAAGTGTCGATTAGCGAGAGAAGAAGCCGAATGATGGATTCCATGGCCAGCCTCTCGACGGATATGTCGTCGGACGATGGTATCAGGCATTCGATTCACGATAGAATAAAAATAGTATCTCAACAATCAACCGCGAGACCGGGATGTGTTATACAACTAGACGCTATCGCCGATGCTACTCACGATTGGCAGAACACGCAGTTTCTTCACGTCTTTCAGGAGCAACTGATCACGGGCGAGAGAAGCGACGAGAAGCAGCCCGGTGTCGACATATCTAGCAATGATCTAGGACTCATGGAGTCCACATTGGATGCCATGGTAGATCTGCAGCAATCGGCGATCTTCGAGGAACCATTCTACATAGTAGTTCTCGAGCGAACACAACAGGGCACCACCGTGCATATGTGGCGATTAGTGATAGCATCGCAACCGGAAACCACCGGCCTGTCGGGTTCAATGATGTACGTGCCAGATTCTCACCTGGTACAAGACGAAGATGACGAGGGCACACCCGGTAGATTAAGTCACGCGGAAGGTAGACGATCGCGCAGAGCCAGTCAAACCGGTGGCAGTCGAAGTCGTCGCGAGAGTCAAGCCGATTTGGATTCGACATTCCTGCCTCGTCGCCATCAGAATAGCCATGTTCTTATTACTACCACGAAGGTCTGCATGCAGGAATTGCCTTTGCCCGACGGAGTGGAGGTGATTCATGCTGCACCCGCGGCAGGACACTTAAGTAGTTCCTCAATATATCCTGCCTGCTTTGCGCCATACATCATTGTAACGGCGTGCAGCGACAGCACCGTACGTTTTTGGAAGTGTAAGGTGACGAAGAAGCCAGACGACAAACTCGACTACGAGTGGTGCGAGTGGGAAATGATCAGAAAGGATCAGGAATCGATTATTGACATCACTGGTCAACCGTTGAACATAAGTGCGGCCTATAGCGGACGCATTGCATGTGCTTATAAGTATGGAAAGTCGTTTACTCGTCCGACGAAGAACGATCCGGACTCGCGCTATGTGAATCTCTGCGTTGCCATATACGAGTGCGAGAGTACAGGAGGCAGCGAATGGATTCTGGAGGATACGATTCATCTGAAGAATATTCATCTTCCGCGAATACCAGTGGATCAGCATTTGGATCTTAGTTATTTATACGACAGTAGATTTTTGCAAAAGAAGAAACGGCTCACTCAGGTATTGCAGACTCTTAGTCACGAGGATATAAGATCTTCGAGAAACGGGGAAAACGGCGATTCCACAAAGTCGAATGCTGGACTGTTAGCGGTTCCGTCGTTTAGTACCTTGCAATCTTTACGAAAGTCGATCATAGAGAACGGCAACACGTGCCCGCTCACACAAAAGCATCTGGTGCAACTCGATTGGGTGTCGAAAGAGGACGGTTCGCATATTCTAACCGTCGGTGTCGGTTCTAAGATTATGCTATTTACACCAGTGTGCTCGGATTTGGCGCAGGCTAATATGAAAGCGATGAAGGAATCCCAGAGCAATAACAGGCCGATATTGCGAAAAACTTCGTCGCTGGCGCAACCACAGTTTGTCGACGAAATTCGATGGATGAAATTGCGCAAGATTGAGTTGACAACGGCGGACGGTCTGCCGCCGTTACCTATGCAAATATCTTGGGTACGGGATGGCATTCTGGTTGTTGGCATGGATTCCGAAATGCACGTGTATTCGCAATGGAAGCCAAATCCGAGGAATGACTGTTTCCATTCGAATCTGCAGCATCAGGAGTCCGACGAGTTTCAGGCAAGTCGAAATCTACGTGACGAGGATCTACGCACGTTGGCGAACGAGACATCCCAGAGACGATTGGCGAACGTGTCCTCCATGCCACATTTGTCACGCGTTAGCAGCATCAATCTAACGATGTTAGACGCGAAGAAGAAGCGCGGTATACAAAATGAGAACTTGAGCTTTGATTATATGCCGGATTACGGACTGTTCGAGGCGTCGAGGATAGCTTGTCCAGTTTTACCACAGTATCATCCTAAGCAGTTGATGGAACTGTTAAATTCGGGCAAAATTAGATGGGTGAAGGCTATATTGGCACATCTAGTGCGATGTATAGGCAGTTCCTGCTCCTTGCGGGCCGACGACGAGAATCTGGTAAAGCAGCGCAATTGGTCGCGATCAAGGACGATGTCGGTGAGTTATGTGGGTACGACGTCCCCGTTGGAACCGAGAGGTTCGACCACGCAGATACCGGAAGAATTGACACTGGACTACGCGGAGATCACATCCATCTCACCCCTGCCGTTGTGGACTCTGTTATTGGCTGACAAGGAAAACAATCTGCCGCATCAACAGAATGAAGACAAGCACGATTACAACGAATTATTCGACAGCAATCTGGACGAGGGAGAATCATTGGACGATATGTTGGAGGAAGATTATGATTGTTCGCGGCAAAAGGATCGACGATCCTCGGTGCCAGAGAGACAAGGGATATCTCACTTTGGTCCTAGACAAGGAAGATTATTGTCGCGTCTTCTGACCCATACTCATCTCCCGGGATTATCCAGTTTAGATCAGATGCATCTGCTCGCTCTGGCGGATACTGTGTCGACATGTAATGTCGACTTTGCGGAGAGATTCGCAATCGACGCGGCCAAAAATGCGATCGCCAAGGAGAATCTAACGGGTATTCCGGATGGCGAAATCATATCCACTGACTCACTGGATGACTGTGGCCTCAGATTCCTTCTGGCGATGAAGCATTATAATTATCTAATACGTTGCTTGCCGTTGGTACAACGAGCACAATTTCAGAAACAGGGCGTCGCATCGAATAACCTCGTGTGGGCATTTCATTCCGAATCAGAGGAGGAGCTACTGGGATTGATTCCGTCTTACGCCAAAGGTCAACCAAAATGGTCCGTGCTGAAGGAGCTCGGCGTAGGCTGGTGGATCAGGAGCAACACGGTGCTTAAGAAATGCGTGGAGAAAATAGCGAAGGCCGCTTTTCAGCTTAATCAAGATCCTTTAGACGCGGCTATTTATTACTTGGCGAATAAGAAAAAGAATCTAGTGTGGGGTTTATTTAGGAACAAGCGGGACGAACGAATGACTACCTTTTTCTCGAATAATTTCGCCGAAGACCGATGGAGAAAGGCGGCACTAAAGAACGCTTTTGCTCTACTCGGAAAGCAACGATTCGAACACGCGGCCGCGTTCTTTTTACTGGCCGGTGCATTGAAAGACGCCATTGACGTATGTCTAAACAAACTAAACGATATTCAACTCGCGATGGTGATAGCCAGACTCTACGAGAACGATACGTCATCTCCCAATATGAAAAGATTGCTATATGAAGAGATTCTAGGCTGTGACAAAGATGGACAAAATCAGGATATGAGTAGAGTACATCCGGATCCTTTCTTGCGTAGCATGGCTCTGTGGCTCTTGAAGGATTACTCCGGTTCTCTCAATACTTTACTTCTGACCAACGTTGGTCATATGCATTCGCAGTATAACGATGAATCTGATAAACCAGAGGGAACGACAGGTAAACTCATATATTTGTACATTTTTGCATACGTATGAAATAACTCTTAGAATAACATCTAATTCTTTTATTTCAGCGAATCCAAATGTCTTCAACTTTTATGTTTATCTTCGTACACATCCATTGTTAATTAGACAGTATATTGCGTCCACTGCACAAGATAATAAGAAAGGACATTCAGTGGTGATCTCAGGATTCAGTTACGGTACAGAAACGAAGAGTCAACCAGACAAACAGCTAATGTTGGAGGATACCATCACACCATTGGAAAGGCAACTGTATTTCACCACAGCACATGCACATTTCAAGGCTGGTTGTCCAGCCCTTGCTCTTGAAGTCTTGTCCAAACTACCTAATAAAGTTATGGAAACAAACGGTGAAGACTCTCCAAGTAAGTAGATATGTACATATTGATAATTAATAGATTGTGAATTGAAATTGTTACCATTTTTTTATCTCAATAGGCTTATTAAACAGTCCAAGTAAGTCTAGAGCTCAAGATACTCAAATAGATACTGGTATCATTAATTGGGGAAATGAATCGAATGGAGTAAGCAATAATAAAGGTATGTATTGTTATTGCTACGTAAAATATGTTAAGAATTCTCAACTATAAAAGAAAAATATTGTTTTCAGAAACTGCTGCCTCTTTGGATTGGAATACGCCGTCGTTTGATTGGTCCCATAGTACCAGACGCGCAGAGGAGGATAAATTAGAATTGAACTGGGACGATGATGATGCGGGTGAGGGTGAAGATGCTGATAGCCCTCCCATGAGCATGAAACTTGATAAGAAAGAGCCAGATAACGCGTATAACTCAGAGATCGATAACAGTAAGAGCTTATCTTCTTTCAATTAGAAATTATTATTTTTTACGTTAATTGTTAATTAAAACGTTATGTTAATTTTTAATTAATTGATATTTTAGAAGATATGCCAAAGTCAGCTGGTCAATTAGATATCATGGCGCAACAACTGAAATTTGTAGCTTGCCTGAAAATCTTGATGGAGGAATTGTCTACATTAGCGACTGGTTTTGAAGTAGACGGAGGTCAGCTACGATATCAACTATATGTGTGGTTGGAACGAGAAGTAGACGCATTGAGGCAGTTGTGCAGCTATAGTACTAACGCGGACGGGGATGTAAACAATGTCGTAGAATGTAATTTTTCTTTTATTTTGTATGCACATAACTGTTATATGAATGATATTGACTACAGTTTTGAAAATTACGGAAAATCGATGGTAATGCTAATAGAAGAATAACTTTCAGACGAGGGCGGTATGGTTGATGATATCCCGCCGTACAAACCCGGTGAGCAACCGACTTTACATCAAATACTAGTGGCGGAGAAGTTAGACTTTGAGGCTAAAGTACAGAGAGCTGTTAAGCGGAAGAAATGGTTGAAAGGTAGGTTAAACTAATTTTATTTTGGAGTCATTTAATTAATCGCTTTAATTAAGAAAAATCTACCCAATTTTTTGCAAAATTAATATTACATTTAAAAAATAAGGCAATATTAAAAAAACAAAATTGCGATAAATATCTTGTGATTTTCAGCTAATGAAACATTGTTGAGAACATTATTATCATATTGTTCGTTGCACGGTGCATCCGGTGGCGGTCTAGCATCGGTAAGAATGGAATTGGTACTTTTGCTGCAAGAATTGCAACAGGAAAAGACTCAACAGCAATTGCTCAGTCCCCTTCCTTTCCCCACTACGCTACCTTTATTAAGTGCCAGCGTTGCCTGCAATAAAACTGTTGTAGCTGATCCAGTCCGACATCTGCAGGTTCGTCAAAATTTCTATACCATCTCCCTTTTATCTTATTTCTATTGATACATAACGCTACGCTGTTGTTTCTTGCAGTCTCTCGCACATGATATGCTACAAACATTGGTAGAGCTACGAAGTCCGCCAATGCCTAACAGAAATACACATTACTGCGAAGTATTCATTATGAGAGATCTAGCAGTGGCGCTTAGCGCTTGTATCTATCAATCGCTTTGTGATTCGGACACTTTCGTTATGAAACATCACCAGCCAGAGAGGTATGTTTTTTCACGATTAAGTTGAGTAATTATTGTACAGAGTATTTCAAGAAAAGAACGGATATTTATACGTTACTTGTTTCAGTTTCCCAGCGGTCGCGGAAGTAGAAACCTCGGGTGGTCACTTGGTAGCTTCAAATAAGTATCATCGACGTTATTCAACGGATGACGGTGTATGCATAACTACCTCGCCTGCCAAGTGGCCGGGTGTGACAAATTTACGCGCGTTGCTCGCTCGAGAAAAAGACGAGGACACTCCGAAGTTAAATATTTTGCTCTGCGAAGCTTTTGTGGCAACGTATATGAGCCTCTTCATGTACGCTCTGTCGAGTTGCGACAGTCACATTTTGTACAGACTGGTTGGACAACACTTTGATAATAACACGTGGTCTTGTCTCTTTGGCGGTGGAGTTAAAAAGCTGTTGCGTGTAGCGAGCACCACTAGTAGCCAGGTATGATTGATCTTTGTGCGATGTGCGTTTCACAAATATTAGTTTTATATTTCTTTGTATCTCTTTGCAAGGGTGGTAACACGAATAGTGTCGAGCGGACCGATAGTGTGACGAGCGAGATCCAAAGTACCGCCAGCGGAATGTGGAATACCATGACTTCGTTAACCAAACAACGCGTCAAGCTAAATATGAAATTGTTAGGACAATTTACAGGTCAACAGCCAAATATGAAGGAGGATAAACCTACATATAGAGAACAATTTGTCTCGCCGCAAATGAGCATGATCTCTTATTTTCTCATGAAGGTATATGTCACATCATTATTTTTTTATTTATTTTGCCATTATACAATTATAACTGTATTTTATTTTTCCAGCCACGCATAGAGATTGAATACGCGGAAGAAATTGATTATGATTCTTCTGATTCCGCGGTGTCCGACTTGGATTCTACAGACGACGAAGAAGATGTATTCGACACGAGTTCGAAGCCAAAGAACAAACCAAAGGATAATACTGAGCATAGTAATTCTAATTCGTACAGTTGGAGCGTAATGAGATTAGCGATAGTTAAAATACTGCAGCAGCAATTGCAGGACTTTTTGACCATCGCCGGCATAGAAATGCAGGGTACATAAATTGCACTATATCTTTTAAATAATATCTTGAAATGATAATTATTGAATTAACACGATAACGGTGGTATTAATGAAATGATACATTATTTCAGAATTACCTGTAAGTAGTCCGCTAATCCATGGTACACTGGGCATTGTTGCACAATGGCAAGACTCTTTGCGCGAAGAGCTGGAACTCAGAGGCCCACCGTCAGCGACTTATATACCTGGATGTGCGCCGGATCCTTCTCCTACGCCTGGAAAACCAGCCATTCATAAGTATCGATCGTTATTGGAGAAAGGAAATACTCCCTTCAAGTGAGAAATAAAATTTTTTTTTAGCTATAAATTAAAAATTTAGACAAGAGAAAGGGATATTAAACAGAAAGATATTCTAAATGATTTCAGTACAAAATTGGCATCCGCAGCGCCTACTAATCGTCTATGGTGTTACTTAGTTAGACAAGAATTGGTTCAGGATATTTTCATTCGCGCAGTGTTCGGGAAACGAAGATCCCTGTCGACAATACTTGAAAGTAACCAATCAGTTGTTGATAGTGTGCACCGTGGAACTGGAGAAGATAAAGGTAGCGATAGTGGCACTACAAGCTTGCCGGAACCAGTTAGGATCATTCATAAGGAACAAGATAGCATCAGTGCCTTCTGTCTTAATCAGGTCTTCTTTTAAATTTTATTTTAAGTGTAGTTATGTTTTTTTAATGAAACTTAAATAAATTTGCGGATTGCTTTGAATATGTAATATTTTATCTAGATAAAAGGGATATACACTAATATGCGATTGTGACGACCGTATATAGGTAAACCCAGGTTTAATGGCCCTTGCTACACCTCGAGAAGTGCAAGAAATGAACATTTCCCTACTCCTAGAACTTCCGTCGTGGCTAGAAGATGAATGCGAATTCGATATTATCAACTTGACTAAGCAGCCCGACCCAGAACCTGTACAGCCAACCAGCTTTTTAGTTATACAGGTACGATTTAAAACACAATAATAAATTTCGTATTTTACGTTACACATTATTTGCAGACAGCAGCAGATCGTCCTTTGTTGGCACAGAGTCCTCAAACGAACAGTCCCCAGCCTCATTCAGGTATAGCCAGTCAGAGTGGACGTGGCGCGAGTGTGGTGAGTTTTTTTTATTACATCGTAATTTACATATTAAATAATGTTGTATTACTTTTATTAATCAAGACTTCCCTTGCTTTTTTGATATAAATAATATATACCTTACAAAAGATAAAATGGTATATCATAAAAGATATTTTTTTTTCCCAAAAATTAATCGAATGTTTTAAAGAACTTGTGATATAATCTTAATTATATGCAATAAAACAAGCCAAAGATGAAGCATTTGAATCTATCTCTTTCTCTCTCTCTCTCTCTCTCTCTTTCTCTCTCTCTCTCTCTTGTACAAAAATTAATCGAATGTTTTAAAGAACTTGTGATATAATCTTAATTATATGCAATAAAACAAGCCAAAGATGAAGCATTTGAATCTATCTCTTTCTCTCTCTCTCTCTCTCTCTCTCTCTCTCTTTCTCTCTCTCTCTCTCTTGTAAATATAACTCGAATTAATTTATATAAAGCATTCAATTAACTTTTTGATTTCTTATCTATATATTTGCGCTATAGTTACTGTTTGACATGTAATTTTTGAATGTTGAGTCAATCCCAAGGCTAAGTAAGATGAAATAAATTTTATTTTTTTTTATTCACAAAATTTACTTTTGTTTTGAGTGTAATTGTATTCACTACATATATATCTCACAATGTAGATTATTTAAATATACATGTGCGTGCGTGAGTGTGAAAAATATGCAATTAATCATTATCACGCAAGAGATTGCAGATCCATTAATTAATTCATATGTAGAGAGCTTGACTTGTCATAACTAAAAGAGTATATTTGCAGTATTTTCAAAATTAATACTATTAATACAAATCCTAAGTAGCTTATAAATACCTGGTAATAGGAGTTTCCTGATAACATATAGGGATTATATAAGGAATTTTTAATAAGCTTGTAATAGAGCAAGGATGTATGTCGACTTAAGTAGGAAGTGTGCTGTCCACCTGGAATATTCCAAGAATCTTCCAAGAATCATCGTACATGTGTACCGAGTCCTTGCATATACATTGTATATTTGTCTGTTTGACATCACTTTGTCACTAGACAATGCGTCTTTTGTAATAATATTTTTCTTTTCTCATTTTTGATATACGAAAATAATAATATTATTAGACAATACTTATGCATTTATATTCAGATTGACGCGAGTAGCAGTATCTTGCACCAAAGAGAAAAGATGTGTGACTATGACTATAAATAAATCTTACATTCATTGCATGATATATATTGAGACAAAAACGTGCACTGTGTCTCACGTATCAGGATATGGCTGGATTCGCAAGGCTTGTTCATTTTATGTAATAAATGCAGGAAAATCAGATTCATCACACCTGTGTCTAAAATTGGGAAAGCTTTTTAATAACTTGTACACAATGATTATTTCTTTTTCAATGCTTTTCTTAACATTGTACTTATAATGCCAATCAATGATTGTAAAGCAACTGTAAAGCAACTTTATTATACATGGAATTTTTTTTCCTTTTAATGGCTATATAAGGACAAAAGAGATACATATCGCCAGACAAGCCTTGCAACCTGTGAATGTGGTGTATTGGGATAGGGTAGCACAAAAGTGGTGACGGAGACAATGTTGCTTGTTCAATGCTTGCCTAACATCTAACTCGGTCTGCGTCACTGAACTGGCGGCTCATTCGCTCGCTCAGATGAAGGGGATGCCTGCTTTCCCTGGCTCCCACGACCTGCGTTTCTGTCAATTTGTTGCCGATAGGAGCAAACACTTGTTAAAGCCGGTGAGATTTACATCTAACAAGACCCTATAGTCTATCCTAGTCTGCAAATTTCATGTTTAACTTTTTTTGGGTAACAAGCAGATATCTCTGATTTGTAATATATTAAAGACACAGTATAGAAAGTTTATATAGTTTAGTTATATTATCTACAAAGATTCAAGATTATCTAAGAAGAATTATTGAAATTGTTGCATACTTTTAAAGGTTCTTTAAAGGTATATTGCAAATCAGATGTATTTTGAACTTCTCAACAAGATCTTACAGCTCAACCGTAAGGTCTATTTTTAGAAACATTTAGCCATTATCGTTTTGTCTAAGAGCTCATAGCAACATGCACAGTGCATTGGTTTGTATTTTTCTTTGCTTATACATTATCAGTATAACAATAATATGATAGAAAAGTTTCATGAGATTCTATTATCATATTCTCAATTGACAACTGGTGTTTCATCTGCTCCTAGATTCTCATAGACGTTATATTTACAGCTGATGGCTAAAACTGTTCTTATCACAAGTATTTCATCAAATGTACATTTTAATGTCAATTACATATAATTGACAATATAAATAAATATTTAAATATTTAAATGCATATATTATCTCGTTTAAATTTTTTCAAATCAGTTTATGTTTAAATCGATTAATCGTTAATCGATAATGTATCCAGTTTTAGATATTACGCTTTTCTCATATCTTCTCGGTGCGAAAATGCGTGAAATTTGGATATGTCTCCATCAGTGTTTTGTTGTACATATAATATTACCATACCACATTCATATACATATCCACATGTTAATTCAACATCTGCAAAACGCGCTAATCGCTAGAGATCAACGTTAGAACTTTGCAAGCTAGTGGGCCAAAAAGCAGTTTCAGCTGAATACTACTTGCAAAATCAACAACTCGCTGCAATGTTTAAAACGCATGCTACATGTCCATTATGCAATTCCATTAAACCTACTTTGTGTTGATGCAACACCCAAAAATGTGCGTTAAATACTTTTAATATTATCGCAGTATTGTGTTCATCAAGTTATTAGTTTAATTCTGCTGGAATATATAAATGTATCATATATTCTTATTTATATTATCTCGAATCTCTCTGTTTTTAATTTCGCAAACTCAATGGATCGTCTGTACTTTATTCCGACAGATCCTGAAGCACAAAATTGACGGCATTAGAAGAATTTCTTCTCATCCGCTCTTACCGCTATGTGAGTATATTTATTATAATCTGTCACGCATACAGAGACTAACAATACAAAGATTAAGTATTTATTATGATTGTCCAAAAATTATAGAAGATTTTATAAGTAATGTAATGTGTCTGTTTTCTTTTTGCATACGTGATGACGTCAGATTTGACCGGATCGCAGGATGGTTCTGTATCTTTATGGGAATGGGGACATCAGACGGCAGTCGCAACTCCGAGAGCACCCGGCACTTTTGCCAAAGTGACCCGCGTGCGATTTTCACAACACGGCAACAAGTTCGGAGTAGCCGATTCTGACGGCCATCTGAGTTTGTTTCAAGTAGCATGTCGGGAAGGAACGGCTCGACCATTCTTTGTAAGAACCTTCGCATTCCGTTTAAAGTGTTACTGTTAAAAGTACCACTTGTTCATTGTTAAAATCTGTTTTAGACCTATCAGTGCCACAGCAAAGTTACTTCAGACTTTGTCTTCCTCGGCGCGTGCAGTCTCGTGGCTACCGCCGGTCATGGTTCGGAAGGGCGGAATGTAGCACTATGGGACACGTTACTTCCACAAAACAAATCTCTCGTACAAGGTACGAATAATAATCACGCATAAAATGACTACTTGCACTTTAATGGATAATAAGAAATCTTTTGATATTTCTCTTTGCAATCATAATTCTATTGCATTTCGTCAGGTTTCATGTGTCACGAGCAGGGAGCCAGTGCGTTGATCCTGGCGCCGCAGCATCAATTGCTGATTAGCGGCGGCAAGAAAGGCGATATCAACATATTCGACGTGCGGCAACGACAACAGAGGCATAGATTCCAAGCGCATGAATCAGCTATCAAGTGTTTAGCGCTTGATCCGCACGAAGAATTTTTCGTTAGCGGAGCAGGTGATGGTGATATTAAGGTAAACAAGTCTTATTTTTCAAATCGCTACTCTACTAAATTACAACTCCGCTTATTCAATAACAATAAATCTCATTCACAGATATGGGGTTTGACCGTCCATTCTCTTCTCTACTCATTTCCTGGTGAACACCCACGGTCTAGTTTCTTCAAAAATATAGGGCAGGTACTGTATCAATTCAGTTGATCGTAAAACAGGGATAATAATGTACTTATTTGTCATCCAGGGCGTTACCCAATTACACGTGGACTCTGCGGGTCGATTATTTTCATGCGGAGCAGATGGTTCGATGAAAGTTCGTCAACTGCCAGAACGCGATTGTGTAATACAAACGCTTTATTAGGATTAAAAAGATGATGAAAGAGAGAAACGATTACCGTGTAAGTATATTATGTGAAAGAACCGATATTTATTAATTATGCTTATATATATATATACACACCATACATATATACGAAAGGCGAATCATTAAAAAAAATCTATGCAATTCATTGATTGCTGTTGTATGATACATCTATATTACTTTTACATACAAACTGTGCAAACAATACAATGTTATTTTGCATGGCTAGTATGTTGTGTTGACGAGCTAAACGGATGTTATTTATATACATAATATATATATATTGTTTTATCGAAACTACTTTATTATATATA